GCGGGCTCTGAGCGCGGCGCGGCGCGGTGACCGAATCAAGAAATTCTCAAAACCTAACGAAAAATATCTGACACCACGCAGATTTTTTTCTTAAAAAAAAATGTTATGCAATAGCGTTACCGCGGCAGTCTCCGAGAGTGCCACATGTATTTTTTTTGAGACGTCTTCAATGGTTGCAACTGATCCCGCGAGATGATTTGGAAAACAAACTTAACTTTAGTTCCTACCAAGTTTGTGAAAAACATTTTAATTTGGAGGATGTATTACATTCATCAAATAGAAAACTTTTAAAAAAGAATGCCCTACCATTGTTGATGCTGCCAAGCTTAGCTAGTACTGATCCAGGAGTCTCTCTAAAAGAAGATAAACAAACCCAAACTGCTCCGTTGGTAGGAAATGAAAATAGTACACAGACTGAAAATGTAACAAATGAAATCTTTGCTCAAACCTCAAAGAGTCTCTATAGCAACACTCCAAGAAAAAGAAAATTGAAACTTGAACTCCTCCAATGCAGAAAGAAAATAAAATAATTAAATCTACCAATCAAAAAACAACACGCATTTTTATTGAACACTTCCTATTCAATATACAAAGTATTTCATTTATTTATATAAAAAGGATATTTACAATCACAAATCTAAATAGAAACAGAAAGTAGGCAAATATAATTCGTCGACCGAATGGCGTAGTGGTTTGTGTAACGGACTGCTATTCCAAAGGTCGCGGGTTCGATTCCCGCTCAAGTCAAACATTTGTGTGCATGAACATTTAATGTTTGATTTGGTCTGGGTGTTTCTATGTATAATAAGTATGTATTTACAAAAAAAAAAGAAGTATATATGTATTTATATCAGTTACCTAGTACCCATAGTACAAGCTCTGCTTAGTTTGGGACTAGATGGCGTTGTGTGAATGTGGTACAATATTATATTATTATATATTATATTATATTATAATTAAAATTCTGGAGACGGGCAGCCCTAACGCATGTTTACGTACCACGCGGCTGTAGGCATTTATTTCTATCATGCGGCCGAGTTACACTACTGTTTTATAATTGTACCGTGGTAATACTGTCCACGAACTATCAAAGGGTATTCTGGTAGAGTAATATTAAACTAACATTTTTAAGTCGCTTTTTTCACTTTTTCACGCTTCATTCACACATAAAACGTCAAAGAGCTAAACGCCATTAAAAGAAGCCACCGCCCCAATTAGGTATGTATCGTAAACCTGATAATGGCTTATCGACCAAATAGGATTAAAAATTGTATCCTTGCATTACCAAATCTAAGAAAAAACTATGTCCATACAATTCATGGAATTTTTTTCTATGTCATAAGAAATACACTTAAAGACGTAAAATTTTAGGACACCTAGTTTTACCATGTTACGGAACTGTTTAGAACCAATTAAAAAAAAAAATTGAACGTACAAAGATATTCAATGAATTGTTTGGACATCGTTTTTTCCTAGATTTCTAAGAAAAAAAACTATGTCCAAACAATTCATTGAAAATCTTTCTATTTCATAAGAAACACACTTAAAGACGTTAAATTTTAGGACACCTAGTTTTACCATGTTACGGAACTATTTAGAAAAAATTAATCAAAAAATCCTGAACAATTTTGTTTAACTTGCTCTGTTTATAATTTTTTCGGTAAATTTGGCACTTACTGGTATATTGTGTCTACGCACTTGTATCTGACTGCACGGATGGTGTAGTGGTTTAAGTGGTCACCTCGGCACGTCCTACTGCGCTGACTGTCGTGGGTTCAATCCTCACATGGGACACTCACACTGTAGATCAACAAATGGTTGTTCTGAATGTGGGTGCACTTTGCGTCCGTGTCATGTATGTTTGTAAAGCCTTCTGCGACACAAGATATATTCTTAGGGCGGGAGTTGTCTTTAAAACAAAAAAAAACTCTCTTGAGTTGCATGTGTCCTTGGGCCATGGATGTTAGACGTACTAATGTCTTGGTGTACGTACCATTTTTCAGAGTCTTGTACCATGTATCAACTAAATATTGTGTTGGTACGCAATAATACCAACTTTCTACATTGATCATACATTTTTTTTCTTGTATCTAATAATATATAAGTTCTTGCTGTACGTCGGAGTTACAACATTGATAGTTGTAAAAAAATATTGTTCATTATGATATTTATTTTTGACCCACTAAGTAACTTACTTCAGGTTCATTTTATCAATCGAGCGAATTATCCGTGGAGAACAGGTATGATATTGTTAGAAAATAATATAAAAATTCGGTCAATGTAACTCACTGTTCATTTTTTTTTAAACTATGGATAGACATTTATAAGATCTAATAATAAAAACGTCAACGAATAATAAGAATAATTATTATTAGTTATAATATTATTTAGTTATATTATTTATGTTTCCTAGTTATAATATTATTTAGTTATATTATTTATGTTATTATTATTGTTTTTTATTATTGTTAATTTTATCAGATATTAATGTTATTTTTCATAAAATCCAGATTTTCTTCGACTTCTTAACAACAGCTGTTCCCGGATCCCTCCTGTTACAGGCGCAGAGTGGCACACCGTGTGGTTTTAGTCGGTCCGAGTCCGACACACCACCCCGCCGCAAACCCCGGAGGGGTGACGGTCCGAGGGGATTTCCACACGTTAAAAAAAAAAAAAAAAAAAAAAAAGGGTTGTCTTGCGTACTTTGCTCCCTTGGTCGGCATTTACGACAGCCACGGGGTAAATAGGGGTAGTCAAACTACGTATGCTTAATCAGTCATCACAGGGATCAGAAAAACCTGTTATTTATTCTGTACTAGTGTATTTTTACTGTCAAATAATTCTGTGTTATGTATTTAAATTAATATCAGAGGCAAAACCTGTTTGCGGTTAAAAACCGAGACAAACAATACACGTAACTTACATAATGTTTTGTAATATGAAAACTACATTAAGTAATTACAGTATACAATTAACACAAATCACAATTAGTCACATAGTCATTAAAAATAACTAAATCCAGTCGCCAAAAAGATAATTTACGTCAAATTCATTAGTCTATTTATATAAAATTAGTTAGTCTCACTGGCTGACTGGTTCATCAATGCTTTGGCAGATGGTATTTTTAAAACCTCCTTTCTTAGGAGAGGCTTATGTCCAGCAGTGGACTATTAAAGGCTGTTGATGATGATGATGATGATTTTTTAGGTTGTAACTACTAAACAAAGGTTGTAAAATAACTAGCTGTACCCTGCTACGCTTTGCTGTGGCATTTTGTGGTTGCTTTGATGAGAAATGAGCAACAAAGCTGACGAAAAAAATAGATGAAACCAAGGAGCAAATACAAAGGATGAAATCAATCTTTGAAGCGGGTTATTTATCGTTTTAAAATTTGAGCTCAATAGAAGCAGAACCTGTAAAATCTGAAAAAGGCTCAATGTGATGAATTGGTTACCTTAGTTAATCTCTAGACGTAAAGCCTGAAAGGTTTCTGAAAACTCTCTTCTGAAATCTCTAATGGATTGCATTTTTCTTGAATATGTTCTATGCATATTTTTTCTTGACAGTTTCTAAAAGTAATACATAACTTTTAACGTTTTAATAATCCAGATAAGACTGACATGATAATATAAGTTTTCAAACAACAGAATTAGCACCAGTGTGAACAAACTAGTCACTACAATAAAGCAAACTTTACAGCATAATTCGATAATTTAAGTTTATTTAAGTACTTGAGATTTTGAAAGTAAAAGTCATTAACTATATTTCAACAAAGTTAATATTTATAAGGACAAATATTAGAATAGACTCTGAACCAGTTTGAAGCTGTTAAAAACAAGTAATCTTCAAAAGCGTTAAAAAATTTTTTTGTTAATTATTATGCAAAAGTGTTCTCCGGCATAAAAAAACTCTCGAACTTTAATTAGTAATGGGCAAAAAATATTCTAGGCCGATTCGTTTAAAATAACAAAAGATTCTGTTTAAAGGGAAGTTTCTATCAATTTAAAAAGTACAAAGTTAAGTTTATAAAATTATAATGCATTAGAACTAGCTATTGCCTACGGCTCCGCCAACGTGTCTATCGGATATCGCGGTAAAAAGTATGCCCTTTCTCAAGCTATAAGTAAAACCTTTCTAATGAATCAAACTATCTCCATACCAAATTTCATCTAAATCGGTTTATCGGTTTAAGCGTGAAGAAGTAACAGACAGACACACTTTAGCATTTATAATATTAATATATATTATATGTAATATTATACTAGTATGGATTGAACATTAACATGGCAAAGGTTTCAACAAATTACAAATAGTGACAAACTAGTTTGTATCGTCTTTTAACTAAGTCAGTCTTCAGCATCTAAGCTTAAACTTGAATTTTAATCAGTTTAAAGTTGCTTATTGGGTTGTTAAGTTGCTAGTAAATAGTGACGTTTGTGAGTATATTAAAAGAAGTCCAAAAATATGATTAATATATGAATGCGATTTTCGTAGCTTAGTAGCCTCTTGTAATTGCGACACGAAGCCAGACATTAATAAATAAGAGATACTGGGATAAAATATTGACGAAAGTCCAAATAACAAGACAAGTATGTGTCAGAAAAACACTTAACAATTTTATTCTAAGGTTATTCGAGACATTGATAAATTGCCATTGTAAATAAGCTTTAAAATTGTAACATTATTTTGAAGCTTGTACGACGAGTACATGGAATAAAACCTATGAACAAATATTTATGTTTCTATTGATAAGGTAAAAATTGTTTAAACGCAAAGTTTTAGTAAGTTTCAGTCATTACTTCAGTTACGCACTGCTTCAGTGAACACGTCTCTGACGGCCATAGAACGACGATCTAACTCTATAATGGCCGCAATGGCCAATGAATACAGCACAAAAACTACTACCAAGGGCGGCATTAAAAACTAGTTACGTGCTTTAAAAGAATGTTTAGTCTTCCTTTTAATCTCGCAAGCGATCGTTCGCTCCGCCAGACTTCCTGATGTCAAATAAATGGTGGCAGACGACTTTGAACCGATTCTTTGAGTCGACTCAAATAGTGTAAGTTGTGTCTTAACGAGTTTGAATTCCGTGTGTGTTTCAAATTATTCTGTTGCCAGACCTACTTGTGTATAATATTATATATCGTTAAATACTTTTTTAATCTCGAGTCTGGGAAAAGTAAAATTTGTTGTTGTTTTGTGATTATTAAACACGTTGTGTGTGGATTTTCAGGATTAAGTTCAATGGGTATGTAGATATCTTAAATATCCAATTCATGCTTATTTTGATATTCCATTTCCATAAATAAAACATGATGAGAAACATGAATAAGAAGGAGAAAATGTCTATTAACACTTAGAATAGTTTTGAAAAAAAGACTTACATACCAATCCAAAAAAGTTAGACAACCAACGAAGAAAACAAAATAGGTCATATTGTTTTGCAATTGTACACAGCTCTGGAGATTCTTGCGTAAAATTTGCGATTATTTTCAGAAAATTGATCTGAATATTTTTTTCACTTGGTTGAAAGTATTGAGAAGTAGAAGTAGGAACTCTTATGGTGAGAGTCCAAGTACATCTTTAGATCCTACTTCCTTTAAGAAAGGGAAACCGAGAACCTCCTTGCCGCACTAAATTTGCTTAGAGCAAGAGAGAAGAACGATGTACAAATACAGCAATTCTAATTATTTTAATACTTACTCTCTATAAATGTGTATGTATATATTATTAACTATTTGCAAAAAAAACATTGGTCTTAATAATGCAATAGTTAGTGTTTCTAGTGTATATATTACATTAGTTTTATGTCCGTTAATTGAATGTTTACTTATTGAATTGAACTTTTACTACTCATTTGTCTTTTTAAATTAAAACATGGTAGCTAATTACTTTTAATAAACATGAAGAAAACAAATTTGCCATAAGAAAAAACCTAATGACTTACATTTCTCAAAAATATTAATTTTGCGTCTGTCATATCTGACCCCCGAAAAAGTCTAATGATGTCTGAATATTTTTTGTTTATACTTGGAGGCTTTTACGCGTAATAAAACCTGTACGAAAATAAGACGTCAGAGTGAGAATGTGACCTATGATACTAGTTATAAACACTGATCTCATCAAAAACATCACATTTAAAAACCCTAGCCTCACAAGTTGCAACCCATTTCGTCTACAGCAGAAAGGTAAGAGATCTAATTATTAAAAACTGTCATTGTTTTAGAGTGACCTTCTCAGTATGAGACACCTTTTGAAGTAAAAACTTCTTATGGGAGGGTACACCGCTAATTGAAATTTTTAGGTTTTTTTCTGGTTTTATTCTCTAAATACCAATATTGTATCGAAGTTTATCTGTCTGACAGAAGTAGATTTTAATTCAGTCAGTCAGAGTCAGTGATAATCGTAAAGACCTATAATTTGCAATAGTTCTTAAACAGCTGTTTGAAATAGAATGTAATTTAGGAACACAACTACCTAAATTAATTAGAAAGTATTTTTTATTGTTGCTAAATTTTAGGATTCAAACTTTTCTATAATAAAATCCTATAGGGTCAAAAATGTCTTGATAACGATAACGATTCGAGAAAGGATGGTACGGTTGCACCCTTTTTTGCTACACTTTTTAGAGGCAACTGGAGTGCCCGTTGACACAAAAATTTCAGTTCAATTAACCTAGCTGCAATTATAATTTTCCTTTCGAATAATACTGTATCATAACAAAAGCTTGCAAATGCCTTAATATTTTTTGTATACCTATCACTTCTTTGGTCATCAGTGCGATTAATTTATTACTTGAAGATAAGCCTCAATTTTTTAAGGTGTCATGATTACTTAGAATGTAATTTATTAAACCACGAATCTTCTTTAAAACAAACAAAACTATCAAGGAATCAAAAATATTGTATAAGTATTAATAAAACAAACACAATTCGACAACGCACTATAAAATTTATCAACTGGAGAGTCAAAAGGAATTTTCCATTGGGCTTGAAATTAGTAATGCTCAGTAACAAGGAAGCCTAAATTAACCCTTAATTTAGGCTGCATTATTACTGAGCAAAAAATAAGTGATGTGATGAAAAAGCGACGACTTTAAAGGTCAGAATATAATTAAAAGTACCTATTATTAAAACACGCAGATCATTGTTAAGTGAAGGGGTTAATGGCCTATTGACTGCACGGATGGCACAGTTGTGTAAGCGATCGCCACGTCGCTTCCTACCGCGCTAAGTGTTGTGGGTTCCATCATGGGACACAGCTTTGATTGTTGTTCTGAGTCTGGGTGTTCTTTGTGCCACGTTTCATGTATGTGTGTAAAGTCCCCACACACTAGGAAACTTACCGTGCGGGAGTTGTCTTAAAAAAAAGTTTACATCGAATGTAAGAATGAAACCGCAACTTTTTTAAATGTCTTTAAAAAAAGAGATTGAGAACTATTTGGGCAAATTACTTATTTTTTTCCTCTGCATGACATTTTTGACAAATGTTCTAAGACTAAACACAGGACATCCTTGCAATCAACAGTTAGAAGCGTAATCATAAAAGTTCAGACAGCAAATATTGACATAACAATAGATAATTAATTCATAAAACTTCATAATTCTGAATGAGTATAAACTTAAGAAAAAATATTTTTTAAATAGGCGTGTATGTTGATTCTATTGGAACTAAAAATATTAAGTCATATTTTCTTACAGCACGCTTTCTCAAAGCTTTCTCAAATAAGTACAATATCTATTCAGGTAACGTTTTAGGATGTTGTGAGTGTTGTAATCTCCTAAATAATAAACTCTATATTTTACACAAAGATTTAAGCTTCATATGCCTAAACAATAGTCTATACATCATTTCTCGTAATACTTTGCGTGAAAATTCAAAAACTCCTTCTGAGTGAAATGTCGACATTGAAACAATCGAGTCAGGCTAACTCAAACAAGAATTTTATATCAGAGTTAAAAAAGTACTCTTTAAGCAGAGTGCATCGTCATGCGCCGCGAGTAAAGCACGCATAGTGCGGTCAGCACAATAATAAAGGGTTAACTAATACATTTTATATTACATTAATTAATTTCATACTGTTTTATTTTATTTGATATGATATTGATATATTAACCTTACTCGTGGTCTCGAAATTTATAAGTGCAAGAAGTTTGTCTGTTTTTTCTTTTAGACTATCTATCTATCTATAATGTACAATTTTTAAAAGTTCAGTGACATCCTAGGTTTTCTTAGTAAAAAAAAAACAATACGATTATTCTCGGATACAGCTTAAAATATTCTTTTTTTTTTTTTGTTTGATGAATTTATTTTGCTGATTATTCGTCTGGTGCAGGTCATTCACAATACCTGACGGTTTGGTGATGGACCCGCTGGCGCCCACCGCGCTTGCGGTTTCTACAGAATTCATGGACCGAATTGGCAGTGGGCTGACTTTACTCAGAGAGCACGGCAAAAAAGTTCAGAAGGTAGGTACGTAAACATAATGTCTTCATAAATATTTAATGCTTTTCTTTAGAAGTTGATGTAATAGGGACCAAAAAAAATAAACTTCGTAGACCCACTTTTCCAATACTAGTAAATTTGTTTTAAAGGCTCAAATACTTGGTCCTAGGGATAAGGCAAGCAAGTATCCGGTATCCTTAATGATTTGTTGATTCTGTCTCTGTCATTGAAAACAATTAATAACACCATAGTCACTAATTAAAATATTAGCTTGTTGTTATTAATGTAGAAGCTGTGGTTACATTTGTCAATTACGGTAATAGTAACATGTGTGTTGAGCTTTTTATTCGGTCACTAACCTTGACTGTTAGACATGTCATGTTTGATGATCGAAAATGGTCGATTGTCATGGTCAAAGTTAAATTCGATTTCTTTTTTTATGGTTACGGCTAACATGGGTTGTCCTTTCTTACTTAACGGGTTATATGGATTGAGGAAAAAGATCGGTTTTCGATTCAATCATGTTTGTTAAATTCGTGTTTTATCAATAGGAGTTGAAATTTAAATAATTTATAGAAATTAACAATGAAAAATTTAAAAAAAGATATCAGGGTTCATTCTTACTCAAATGACATTAGTCTGTACCACCACACCACCGAGCTCTCCTTTGTTTAATAAATAAATTATATCGTTTTATAAACATGTAAGCATTTCATTATTAAATTTCATTTAATTACATTTCATTTAATTTTTAAATATTTCAAGAACACTGTTCTTATAACAAAGAAATAAACTTTAATATAAGAACAAGCCTTTATGCAAGTTAAAATCGTATTACCTTTCGAGCTACTTCATTTTGTTTGAATTTTATTATTAATTCATATTTTAACCTACAATATTCGACACTTACTTTAGCTATTACTTAAGTACTCTTGTATGTTGTTCAACAGTATGTTTGGAAAAACAAAAAATTGGACATTCTAAAGAAGTCATGGAAGTCTAGTGTGAACGTCGTATTAATTGATGCCAAAGATACTCCGAGCGGCAGCATCAATGGACTGTACTGTAAATTTAAGTAAGTACAAGATTTATAAATTCATTTAACTAACTAACGCTTACAAAAGCTATATACCGCTATATAAGTTATTTTCTGAACTTTCCGTTCAGAAAAAAGACCATCTCGTTTAAAGCCTTACCTCGTTTATGTGAAAATTTATATACATGTAATTTTTATTACGTTATTAATCATGAAATGAATTTTATTTTTATTGTTGTAACGTTATACGAGTATGCACATCATAAACAAACTTTAGTGTGCAAATGACGTCTTTTCTACATAGTATTCGCAATTATAATCTACTATTATCCTTGGATGTCTAAATTATAGTTAATATATAGTCACCAGTTTGAAAATTTAATTACTGGTATGATAAATACGTCTTAACAGCCGTGTCATGACATCCAGTAATGGGGTGAATGATAATCAAGTCAAATCAGTATCCATCTTTTTATTAAACGTCAAAGCGGTATATTTTTGTATGAAATACTATGACGTGACGTCATACCTAGCTATTGTCAAATCATTTATATTTATTTGTTTTTTTTTATTTATATTTTTTGGTTTATTTGAAGAAATAAAAACAATTTAAATATTAAATCGATAATGGAGCACAATTCAGGTGATGTTACATTAAACTATTCAGTTCAAATAATTATTTTACACACCTTTTATTTTACACCTTTTTTTTCTGTGTGGAAATCCCTCCCTCGGATACGACCCAGCAAAGGGGTGTTTATATCGATACTTGAACTGACTAAAAACCGCACCGCATAGCCGGGGAACCAGGTGTACCCTAGAAAGGAAATCCCTGGTAACCCGTACGTCGGGCCATCTACGGCTTATAGATGACCCCCTCCTGTGTAGGAACCCCAATGTTCCCTTCCTGCCTCCAAAGGTCCTTCTGCTGGGGTGTCAGATGGCCTCACCTGTCGCCACAAGGGTGCGCTTATGAAGAAAATAGAAAGAAAGAAAGAAATAAAATGCGTTTTGTAGTACTCTGCCAATGTGACAGCAATGACAGTCACTATGCCAGTTAACTGTATTTCTCGTGAAATCAGCTATCTATTTGGAGAAATACCTACCTATTTTATAATAAATAGAACCTGCAAATGCTGATATCTATTACATGCATAGATTACTATGTGTGCATGACATGACGTGGCTTCCTGCCATAACCCGCATATTTACCGACGTTTATGGTCATCGCTCAATGTGATGATGTGATGTGATGATGTTTTGTTGCCTAAATTATTCCTCAATATTATCAGCCTATCGTTGGCCACTGCTAAATGAAGGCCTACCCCAAGGATCGTCAACATTCCTCAATATATCATTCGAATTAGACTTCTCTGGAACTACAAACTAACACCTCAACACAAAATAATAAAAAAAATATCTTTAGTTTTATTATATAAATTCGCCTCTTAATATTTACCTACCTCCAAAACGCTTATAACATTTATGAATGTCCTTGATTTGTTTTTTTATTGTTGATAGACTTGGCGCCGAAGGTCATAAGTCAAAGCAGCTGTCAAAGTCAAAGACGGCATGGTGTGAAAGATTCAACTTGTACATATACGATGACAGCAACTTGGAGGTGACAGTTTGGCACAAGGGGAATCAGAAAAGTTTTATGGGCAGGTATACTATACTCGTACCCATATTTTCATGATACATTCCTTTCAATTTTATATACCACATGACTAAAATGAAATAAAGGTACAATGAAGTAAACGCTTGGATGGAAGACTGCCTGCCTAGTTCTTTACATTTTTGTTTTATTATAAATAATAACGTATCCATTCAACATATTTAATAAAGTCGTTCCAGGATTATTTGCTCATACATGTTTGTAACAAAAATTTGAAAGAAGTTGATTATTAAAAATAAAATAAACACACAGTTATTGTGCAGTAAAATAACTATTTATCAAGTTTATCGTGTCCATTTTGTGTAGTTTAATAGTTGTACCTTTAAAGAACAAATACGTCTAAAATGTGCTAATATGTCAGTGTTGACAAAAAGCTGAGACTTAACACTTAACGAAACATTCGCATCTATATATTTACTTTGTAAACAAACTATCTTTTTCCTTAAAGTCACTGGTACGTGGCTCTCCTCTCATCATTACACTCATTATAACCACTCGCTAATGGCATTCGACATTCGGCATTGATTCATTAGCTTTTATAACTATTTTCATTTTAAACTTATACATAACAAGATTGTCTACTCACTATGAAATGTCATAGGTGCATGAAATTAGAAAAGTTCCCAAATCGAACTGTTGCCTTGGAGTAAAATTGGTTAGTCACTAGTTTCTAGATCATTGTTTACTTTATGATTAACACATTTTTAGTCTATCGCGACCACAGGGTCATCATACATGACAAGTTCCAAACACGATGACTACTACTAATAACTAAAGATGAACTAAGCTCAACTGATTTACAAATTTTATGTGGGTATTTATGCTTCATGCTTTATGATAAGTAAAGTTAAACATGTTATTTAAACAAAGGTAATGAAAAAATATCGGTATTTGCCCTTTCAATAAAACAGGTCTTCTGAATGCAGTTGAGTCCATAAACTGTCATTGCCCTTTATATTTGCTTGCCCCTCTTAAAAATGCAAGGAAATTAAACTCAGGGTCATCTACTTTTAGTTACTTTTGCTGCTGTTCAGTGTCATTATCAGATACCTTACAGTTTTAAAACAAACCCACGTAAAGTAACATAGCCGTGTTGTTCCGGGTTAAAAATCATTGGAAAAAATACCGTTTATGAAGTGTGCTTTTAAAACACAAGTTGATTGAAATCACTTATTTGTTTAAGTAGATGTTATCATATTATTTTGTACGTGTAAATTAAAATATTAAATACCTACGTTTCTTGTTGATAAATTAATGAGTACTAAAAATTTTAGTTTTTTGCTGTCAGTTTTATTGTATTGTGCAGTAAACTTTATTACAGGCAGTGACGCGGTTGCACCAGGGACTTCCTTTCTAGGGTATACCTGGTTCCCCGGCTATTAGTACCCGGCGAAGGCGTGCGGTTTTAGTCGGTTCGATTCCGACATGCCACCGACAGGTGGTATCCGAGGGGATTTCCGCACGGAAAAAAAAAAAAAGGCAGTGACGCAGCAGTCGGACGACGACTGCCACACGAATGAAAGTTGTCTATTTACAAGCCCACGCACACATAGGGCCGAGCGCACAACTGAGTTGAACTATCTATACATAAATTTGATGATTTTTACTTAATTATTTTTATATCTATACATATAAAAAAAAATAAGTTGGTTATTGTACGCTTCAAACACTCAAAAAGTTCTGCACGCATTGATCTTAAATTTTGACACGATATACAACTCGCTGCTCCTCATCAATGCAATTACAATGTGCCACAGCAAAGCCTGTTAGGGTATAGCTAGGGTTTTACGAGTATAATTTTGGTTTAAAATGGTATAGTACGAGTAGTATTGAACATATTCTGCAAAAAAAAAGAAAACATGTGTACAGTTAGGTTGTTTTAGCACATAATATTATATGGCGAATGGCGCAATCGTTAAAGTCCCCTCACCAAATGTTAAAGGTTCGATTTCCGTACTGGACAAATAGTAGTGTGATGAACAGTTTTGTTCCAAATCGAAATATTTTTATAAGTTGTTTCAATGTTTGTGAAAGTGTAAGAAATTATTCGTTTTGCGGGAATTTTGAGTTATATTCTTATGATACATCATAAGAAAATATCTTCTCCAACAACCTTCAACTTCTTCTTCAACCATCTCACAATAAAGTTTTTTGTGAAAAACTTTGTGGTGAGATGCTTTATATTGTAATCTATACTTAGTTAATTTTGGGGATTCAGTTCCAATGCAAATACTTGTCTTAGAGCTGTACGTGACTGACTTGTCTGAGTATTTATTTAACTAAGGGAAACGTTAAATGTGAAATGACATTACGATATTTTCCAGGTGTACCATCGACCTCTCGCAACTAGAAAAGGAGAAAACCCATGAACTGTGGCAGGAGTTGGAGTGCGGTCAGGGCTCATTACACTTATTGATCACTTTGAACGGAACCACGAGAAACATGCCGATAGACAACGTGCCCACAACCAATGGAGTTCGCCACACATTACCTGCAGAGGACAAATACGTAAGTACCTACATATTCATATAACACTAAGTAATGAATAATATCTGTTCAGGCTGTAAATATTAAAAAAACCGTCACCTAAACGACGCACACAAAAACAGTAAAAAACATAAAATAAAGGACGTGTCATAATAAAAAAATCGGCAATTTTTTTTTTATAAAATTCCAATATCTTGAAAATGGTCGGTTTTGGGATATGGTGTTTCATAGTGAAATCTATCAGAAATGATGATAACTACAACTACAACCCCTTAAACGGTGGTAGTATTACGAGATCGCTGCATCATCGACACTTCCGTATTTTTAATTGGACCGTTTATACTTATAAAATATTTTACTAATAAAATATACAAAAAAAAGCAAAAAAAAATAATCTTTATTTTTTCTAATGTTTTTGTTTTCTAAATCCAAAACGTGATATTGACATCTACGGGGTACGAAGTTTGTAGTTGAAGTTAAACACTATCCATATTGTATAAAACTTTAAATATGTTAGGTTTAAGAAATCATGTACCCCGCGCTATGACAAGAAAAAATATACCAACCAACCAAATACATCGCATCGTCAGCGAGCGCTTTAACAGAGCTGTAATCAGTTTTTCGTTTTTACCATTTTTAGTTTGTAAAAAGATAACTTCATTTACGTTCTCGATACTTCTCTCAGGGCCTCAATTCTGCTATTTTATGTTTACGCCAGGCCACTGTCATACCACTGACACGCTATTGAGATGCGATGCTGATAGATGAGATGAATATGGCAATATTTTTGATATCACCACTGCCACTGTAAAGACACTTCATAGACAATTAAAAACAAAAAGTTATTTAAGTCTATTCTTTAAAGTTTTTTTCAGTTGAATGTTGTTTTTGCTTTTACTTAAAAGACAAAAAATGTTTTATTATGATGTTTTTATTTTAGCTCTCAATCAACGTGGAAATATGTAATTTGCATACTTACCACATCCGTGTCTTAGAGTGCGTAATTAAAAATAATTCTCAAACCCCACATAACAGGTTGCCGGGGATCAACACTACATCGAGTCGTTAGTCTCAAAATAGGTTTTTCCATTAAAACAATAAAGCCTGTTTTTTCACCGCTACGAGTGCAAAGTCACGCACGGATTTCTTTTTAATCAGATAGCTATTATACCCATCATCGGTTACATGCCTATTTTTATCTAAGTCGCAAATAACTTACAGGACTAAAATTCTGACCTACAATGTCGCTAATTTCATCTGAAGTGGAGTAAATAGATTATTTTTTGTAATACGTTTCATTCTCTGTTTGACGATTAAGTTATAGAGATTAGCAAAAAACAGCAGCCTTTATTCGACCCGACTTATTACTTTTTTACGATTAATGTCTTGTATAAATTATTACAACTGGTCTAACCAGATACTTTTTTCTCTAGTATTTCGCACATTGATCAATTTCATATTCCAGCCAATGGTATAAATTAGCTAGCTACCGTCGCTGCTTACGTCGATTAGCTTACTACGTCATTGGTTATTAAATCCAATAGTATAAGTAAAAACAAAACACGAAGTACAATTTATCAAGACGAAAACATCTATATACTCGTATGTTATGTTGATGTTACAGTAATGAAAAAAATCTCTTTAAAATATGTATGAACATACCTAAAAAAAAGGGTACCCTTTTATTTACGATAAATGTTCCTTAATACCTACTGTTTTTGCTTCCTGATTTAAACGCCGCCAATGCCGAAGAGGTTTATTTTATTAATTTATTTTTGAATATTATTGTACCTGTTCGGTGTCAGTTTTATTTACATCTTCACCTTTAGTCCTTAAATAAATTTCCTATTTCACCCTGTTCTTACTGTACAACTTGTTTATCAGAAGAACACGTATATAAGCGTCATGCCAAACCAATTGTCCATAGTTATGTCTTCAATAAAGATTAAAATACATAAGGGGATGTGTTCAAAAACTTTTATCTAAATGGTTTTTTATCAAAGTTTAATGAGTAGTGAATTTGTATTTTTACCTTGAATTCCGTTTTTGCCGTTACTTTACAAATATCTGTCTCTAATGAGCATGACCAATTCAATCGCACACTTTAATATACAGATAAAACTATAAATTCTTTACGAAATTGAAGAAACGAAGGATACATTTTATTAGGCTTAGGAGTAATCAGGTGGCAAAATGATTACAGAGTTTACTTGACACCTATCTAAAATACACATTTTAAGGGTTTGTTAATCACTTTGATAGATTTTGCGTCTTCTTTACTTCTGCACATTGTGTGCACAATCAATTTTTTACTTAAAAGTCGGGTATTTACGCATGAGTCTAATGATTCATCCATGGACCGTTACATGAGATAGACATTGGCCGGTCCGGATTTTGCTGAGGTTGGAATATTGCGATAGTTGAAATGACACAAATAAAAGTTAAATCAGCGACGGTCGTCGCTGATCGAACTCCGTCGTCGGCCGTCTCCGTCGGATATTATGTTCATGTAGGCTTTAATGGATTAATGAATTAAAGCAACTTACTAGTATTCTCTGTGTATGATTGTGCAGCGAGTTATACATATTACAAAATTTTAATCCTTGTCGTGGGCAGAATGGATGCGGGCAGTACAGGACCGGTGGTTGTAGAGAGCCTTGGGGGAGGCCTATGTCCAGCAGTGCAAGTCTTTCCTCTGAGATGATGATGGTGATGAATCCTTGTAAAGTGGGTTAACAACTACGACTTGATATAATAATTAACAAAAATGTGTTTTTTTCTTATTAGGGCTACGTACCTCTCAACAAAAAAAACATTACCACTTCCTTGTCCGTCTCTCTCTGGTTAACAAGATTCTAAAAGAGGAATGAGTAGAAGTTACAAGTTTAAATTAACATTAAAAAATCAACGAGTTCTTACAGCACAAGTAAAAGACAAATGCTGAACGTAATAATTGTTCAATAAGTAGGTACACACATAAAAACATCTTGGAGTACACCGGTGTCAAAATATTTATGGTTCAATGTTAGCCTTTTATAAATTTTTATTAATAACTCTAATACAATAGAATTTCTACCTTTGGCCGATCACTGGTAATGAAATGCCTCTCTTAAAGATTTATAGATAGTTTACATGATATTATTATAAACCCCAATCAATATTTATTATTCAATAACAAGTAAATACCGTAAATATTCGTACCGTACCGTAAGTTTTCGATTAGAAATTAATGTAGTCTATATTTTATACCTAACCTTCTTATTAGTTATCTATACTAATATTATAAAGCTGAAGAGTTTGTTTGTTTGAACGCGCTAATCTCAGGAACTACTGGCCCGATTTGAAAAATTCTTTCAGTGTTAGATAGCCCATTTATCGAGGAAGGCTATAGGTCATATATCATCACGCTAAGACCAATAGGAGCGGAGCACCAATGAAGAATGTTTCAAAAACGGAGAAAATTTATTACTATTGAGAGACGCAGACGAAGTTGCGCGGGTCAGCTAGTGTGAAATGACCATAAATGCAATGGGTTCTTAGTGTATTGATTTGACACTTGAGCCAAAGATCTCAAAATTTAACGGATTCAGTTTTTGTTATTACAAAAAATTGTGGTTACACTCTACCACAAAGCCATTAACCAAAAGTTGAAGTTATTACAAAAAGTAAACTTGTGAAACCATGTTTCTTTTTAATTGTGTTTTTTTTTTATTGTATAGAAAGAGCTAATCATTTTTCTTAATAAATAAAATTTAACGGCATGCAGTATGATATTTTATTCAATTCGATTCCTACATAATTAATAATTATCATAATTATTTTATAGTCTTTTATAGTGTTTTGCATTCAAAAAACTTGGTAACTTTTAAAAGAATATTTTACGTGTATTATTTTAGTGTCGACTTGGAAAGTCTATGACTAAGAAATATCTGTCTTTATATACCTTCGTATGTGAATATTGTTGTGTTAACTGCGAACTAATTGCATTAAAGTTTAAATGTTTGCTCATAATAAGGAAATAGCGCGACCAGTGTGTCAAACATAGGTCATATTTTTTCCCCGACTGCAGAGAAAGGGTTACGTTTTACGAGCGTATCTTGTATGTTTGTTTGTAAATTTCTTTATTACCTAGTTTCTTCTAAATTTCTCAATGAATTTCGATAGTTAAGGTATTGTTTAATCCGTCTCAAAAGCCCAAGTGCCCTTTCATGGCTTTTTGAAAGAAAAAAAATCAAAATGATAAATTTAAATAATAAAAATAATAATAGGATAAAAATAATAATTAACCAAACCTATTGAGTAGGGTATCAAAAACAAGATAATTAAAAGAGGATTTTAGAAATATATAAAAGTTTCTTATTTAAAATAAATAAAGAAAAATAAATTGGTTAAAAAAGTTTTTGATAGCGTAAAAATTGACTATGTTTGTGACCTGTTGTTGTTTCGGTCTTTTTAATGCAACACTTTTAAATTGTCCTTTTGCAGTCGAGTTTTTATTATTTTTTACAGTAATTTAAAAAATTAATTTCCAGTTAACCTTCTTAAACAAATTTGTATGTGTGAAAATGATAAATATAAAAAAAACATTTACTTTTTATTTTAGATTCATTTCATGTCAGGTCTCAGATGCTATAGTTTCTAGTCAGGCAACTCACAACATTAATATTAAAGTAGGCCTGGTGAGGTGACGACTTATGGGGCTTTCCACACGTCAAAAACACGACACAACTTGATGGTTTAATGATTAACCTAACCTTTCAGGTCATGTTATTACGTTCAATGTAAGACGTCATATGGCAAAAAATAATGATCCCTTTTCGACAAAGAGACCACGTCAATATATCTAATTTGTTAAACAAAAAAATTTAGCTAAAACAAGAAACCGCAAAAAACTGTTTGTATTTTAAAACTGAAGACCATAAATTATAAATGCATTATCTGAACCATCATTAACCATCAGTACGAGTAGTGGCAAATAGTAGTATGCGGATGATTAAATACCTACATACATTTCTTACAAAAAGTTTAATGGCTATATGAAAAACCTGTTGTTTTTGAACTCAAACAACACGACTAAAACATTCCACTACGTCAAAGAATACATCGTGTATTTTTTTACATTGCTTTTATCCGTACTTTTAAGAGAATTCGTAAATAAGTCACAACGTGCTTTCAATATTAGGTACTTTTTATGTGTGACGCTCAAAGGCCCAAAACGCTCTTTGAGCAGAAAGCAGACATCTCACAACGCATTAAAGTCACTGTAAAAAATTCACATCACGAAATTAATGTTTTCTATAATGTTTCTCCATTTTTGATACAGGTAAGCCTATTGTAGTGGTTAAACGTAAGTATCTCTTCCCTTGGGAAGATGGAAACTTACATTTAAAAGTATTAAATCGTATATATACTCCGTGCATATGATCAGGGGCTGCACGCAGTCGTTTACCGATTTCACATTGTTCACAGTTGCAATGCAATGTAATAAAGATTGGTAAAATTTTACAAGCGTAAAACTAATAAGTATTTTTTTTAATTTAATTGCAAAAAAATGTTGGCTGACAATCTGCCTGACGCCAACCTTCCTATTGAATGAACTGAAAATTGAACTAAACTTAACCAAAGTAAGTTAGGGTGAGTATAAAATAAAATGAGTTGAGGTAAAGAGTTTGGTGGTTTATTTATTTATAAAGAGTTTGGTGTTTTAGAGGTTACTTTAAATACAATTTCATTAAATATTCTCGTGGACAAATTATAGCACATATTAACACATACAAATTAACAGTATAACACTCGCTATAGGTTTTTGCTATAATTAACGTCCCTTAAATAGAAGCTTCAGAAAAAGAAGTCGCAACTTTCAACTTACTAAGACAATAATGTGTAGTTGCATAATAATACATATGTCCGTTATTGTAAATGCTATTAACTATTGTTCCAGTCATGGTACCGCCTCAACAGTGACTGGGATCAAGTCGGTGAATTGTCAGTAACTGTCTACGGAGCAGAAGGGCTAATTGCGCTTGGTCTCAGCGGAAAGGCAAATGCTTATTGCGTGTTGGAACTAGACAACTCCAGGGTGCAGACGCATGCTGTACCTGGCACATCTGATCCGATGTGGAATAAAAGTTATACATTGTAAGTAGTCAATTATACCTTAAACACGTATTTAATATCACATATATTTTTTTTGGAAACAGGCATACGTGGCCGCCTACAATTAAGCAGCATATATGCAACAGTTACTTTTATAATTAACCTTGTCTCTGAAGGTGAATTGAAGCTGAATACACTTTTCTCTGTTTAGGTGCTGATAAAGTTGTTTCCTAGAGAGTGGTTACTCTGCAAGCATTCTAGTCAAGTTTCGCGATTCCCCTAAAAAGGCGGTAATTGTTTTGTCAGGTGTCACAAAATACTAACCTTACAGATATATGACAGATAGGAAATACATAAGAATAACATAACATAAACCTTGAACCTCAAAATTGTTGGGTTGTTTATTACCATACCAACTACTGGTATCACAGTTCATGGACGACAACTAAATACGTTTAGTGGTAAAGGAATGAAGGTTAATCAATATATTAATTTAGTATTATGATAGATGTTTTACGTTTTCAATTCTTTTAGGGTTTAGGAACTCATATTTACGGTACATACGCTCATCGGACAAGTTCACGTAGGACACTGACCCTTGCCGACCTAATTGTCGTGAGTGAGTTGAGTTCGGTTTAAACATCTTTAAAGATCTTTATTTCTCATTAAGGCATAGCCACTTACATGAGAACGGCGAATTGTATATTTTAGTGTTTCCCTTTTTCTTGTGAACGTAACGTGTGACTGGATAGTTTTTTGTAAATGAGTATTTTCTATATAAGGATACATGTATTGTATGTGTATAGTTGTTCAATGTTCATAAGTTTTATGTTGTTGTATATAATTTTAGATGAATTAAGTAGTCGTAATGTTATAGTATTTTTATGATTTTGTTTTGTAATACCGGATTTTGTTTTTTTTTTTTTTTTTTTAAAGACAACTCCCGCATTAGGAAAATATCCTGTGTCGCGGGGAATCTTACAAACATACATGAAATGGACACAAATTGGTTAAATTGGTTTTAGCTGCATTGCCCCAAATCTCAATGAGATACAGTAGGTGAGACTTTTAGGATGGAGTTAGTGTGCTAATCCTTGTAATTGATCCAAACAACCAAACCCTGGATTCATTTACTGGACTACGATTACATTCACTTGATCATACTTTTTATACTAAATAATCATAATTTTTTTACCAAGAAATAATTTCAAAACAAAAAGCAGAACTAATCCAGCCTAAAATGACAGAGCTTTTTGAAATCAGCAGATAACTGTTATTGTAGGAGTTTTCACAGACTAAATAGTTTATAGACATACATAAGTAGTTATAATTATACATTTCGTTCATTTCTGTAGAATAAAGTAACAACATTTAGCTAAAATTGTAAATAACGTCAAATTAAAGTGGTTTTTGTTTTTTTTTTTAATTTTATTTATTGCTAATTATCGCATTACGGTGCGGAATCATAAAATTAAAGTAATTTACTTTTTTAAAACCATATGAACACTTTTTTTACTTAAAACAAGGCAAGTGACATTATTACAAGAATTATAAATTGCTGCAAAGTTAACAATATTAAAGTTATGGGTATGTTTACAATGTACAGGAAATATAAATAGATAGGCGCATTAGCAGTTTCCTTACGAATAGAAGAATGTTTAGAATCGCCTACAACTTTATAAGACGCAATTTCGGCTGTATGTGTATTACTGTTTTCCATTGTTCTCACCTCTGGACAGGAGCACCCCAGTACCAGCTTCCCACATTCAACGAAGAACTATTTGAATTATCAATTGTCTGGAAATTTAGTTTGGTTTGACTCCTTGGCGTTGCATACAGATGTACGAGTAGCTTCACTCTGCATTCTCTATTGCTTGACAAACTTTTCTTCCTAGAACTGGGATTATTGGTGTGGAGTACCACTGTGCGTTTTTCACAAATATTTTTGTCTCGTAAGTACCATCAATCCATAGAACAAATTGTCGCCTTGCGTTTTCGCAACAGGTATTTGACGTTCAAACTACTACGAAAAGAGTGTGACAACATTGTAGTAAGTTTAATTAATGAATGAGAATTTCATCAATTTAAAAAAAAACATTGTTAATGCAATGTTAAAGTATAAATTTTAAAAAATATACACATAACACGACGAAGAGTTCCAGCACACATTTACGTGTGTGTTGTACGAGTATTTCCATAAGAAGATTTTGATTAGATTGATTTTAAATTAACTTTATTAATGCACTGTAATACTCTTTTCATCGATTAGTTTTCTGAAAGAGATCGAGAGGCTAATATTACACATCAACTTCCGTTTGCAAATAGGTAATTTTTTCATTGTGTTTCTTGTTAAGTATGCGCAGGAGAGTTTGTTTAATTTATGATTCACCGTAGATTAAACATTCAACGATACGTGTGCATATAAAAAAATTAAGCACTAGTTATTAAATAACTATTATAACGGTTTATTTTGCGGTGAATCTTAGGCACGTTGTACTCATTCATCATAACATATTCAATTTACTTAAAGTGTTTTATGTAAGAATAATTTATTCACAGTGCTGTCAATGACGTCACATCAATGCTAACGATAACAGTAAAAGACGAATCAATAATCAACACAATGAAAGATGAGACTATTGGGAAGATATCGATACCTCTACTTACAATAGTTAATGATGAGAAGAAGTGGCTGCAATTAGATAACAAATCGAAAAATCCAATCTCTAAAGGGAGTTCACCAAAAATACTACTGCAGATGTCAATCGTGTGGAATCCGGTAAATTTCAATTGTTACTATCTTTTTCATAAATCTGCCACTTTAGAGGCATAGGATAATATTAGTAGCGTAATAATCCTGGTTACTTACAAGTGGTGCGGGTACAACATTATTTCTAAGTAATAAATACGCATACAAACGTGTCAGCTATCATTAATTTTGTAACTTTTCAGATTAAGGCCTCCCTTCGCTTATTGAGTCCTAAAGAAACTAAATATACAGAAAAAACGCAAAGAAAATTCAACATCCCTCTTATTTATAGCAACCTGAAATTTATCAAAGATATATTTTACGCCGTCTATTACGGGAATGAACACTTGAAGTAAGTACCAGATTAGATATGATCTCGTAATAAAAATATCTTTTATTTCATTTAGTTTCTTTTTAAACAAATAACAAGAACTATCTTACTTGTTTTAGGATAAAGCATTTGCGCGGCGTAGGCGCACCGACTTATCCTATCGAATATTCCTTTGTCCGTGTGTGTTTTGTTAAATCATAAGGTTTTGGTTTACGTAGTGCTTCAGCCACATAGATTTCGATAATCACAAGAAATATGCTTAACTGTATCAAAGTTTATTTAAGTATCATGAGTTCTAGTGTACTCGTGAGTCTAAGTATAATATTTATAATAAACATACTTACTTTTACGCACCAACGACAGTACCCCTTGGTACTGTCTTCTTTTTATTGGTGATACTGGTGGTCAAAAAATGGAATCAACGCTTCAATTACTCGTGAGCACAATAGGGGCAGAGCAGAGAATATTTAAACCGATATTCTATGTTCTGTTGGCAATACAAAAGTTGCAATTTGTTTCTTCAACATTCGCACCCGTAATTCGAATGTATTCATAATGTGTTAATATTGCCTGTAATGTTATACTTGTATAAGACAGTTAACTTCTCATGTATAATTGAAACGCCTGCGGCATTATGAAACTATTAAGACCATTAAATTTAATGATGATAATTGTTTATCCTCAAGATCGGTGCTGTTTATTTTGAATATACATAAGTATTATGGATACCTTGCTAAAAATATTATTCGGGTATGTTTCACTTCCATATCGAGAAAACTGTAAAAAAATATTTTTTTAAACATTTCTTGTTCTTGTCATTTTAGTAGTTTTATAGACATGGGTGTCTCAGATTACAAGTCAATTTCAACCATATATTGGTAGTCTATCAATCGATAAAATAAACGTGACTCTAGGGTCAAACATATTTAAGTTAAATAGCTCAAGTAAACTATTCGTTTAATTACAAATATGTAGATTATTGCCGTCGTTCGATGACTTACGCACATACGCCTTAGTAATTGACAATAGATGGCAAATAGTAAGTAAATTGACAAAGATTCTTTGCTTTTATCAATGTTTCACATGGATTAGGAATATACAGAAACGAGGAGACACATCGTAGGAGTAGGTCAGTCTCATGATTAAAAGACAGGCAGCCAGATGAGATATATAAAATAAAGTATGAGTCGTATATTTCACGTAAACTGTTAGCATTTACATTTTCCTTTCTTTAACTATCATCATCGTCAACAACAGTCTTTAATAGTTCATTGCTAAACACAATTAATTATACAGGAGGTTTAACTATCAGTTACATAAAATTAAACACTTTTGAAAATATTGGCAAAAGCAAAGCCTCCAAATAGGCAATTTTATTTCAGAAAATCGACAGTGTTCTACCTCTTTTATTATATCGTGTTCTTTATGGTGATATGTCACGGTTGCTAGCGCTACTAGTACTAGCCTTCACAATAGATCGAAGACTGTTGTTTAAATCTATATTCATCTCAACCAGTGATCTATAGATCATAAAATAACTTAGTGAAGAAAAAAATTGTGTTACTCAGTCACTTGTTAATGTTTTATTTCAAACTTAGACTCGAACTTCTATGCCGAGACAAAAACTACTAAAAAAAGTTAAATGTCAGTAATGTGTTAATTAAATGAAGTCATTTAAATAAATGAATAGCTTCTCGCTTATGACATCAATAACAACCAACATGTAACAATGTATAATAGTCCTTTTTTTTTCATTTTATGACTAAAAGAAAAACAGTGATATTAAAGTTGTTGTTATTTATTTCTCTTATGACCAGAAATTCAAGTTGAAGTTCATGAAGTTTGCCTGACAATTGCTAAGGAATGAAATATTTAATAATTTTATAGGTACGTATTCGAGTGGGAAAACCGTGAGAAATCAGCGATAGCGCTGGGAGCGTGGCTGATCTTCTGGTTCTTCTTCCGCATGTGGATGACACCACTAGTGATTGTCTTGCCATTCATCTACTTCTGGTTCAATCGCAGTAAGTTTAGCATTAACATAACTAGGAAGAGCCATTCTAAGGGTGCTGCTGCAAGCAGTTGAACAACACTATATCTGTATTATCTACATGCAGCATATCCGATTAGAAATCATAGGATGTGGAACCCTGAAGAACTACGGTTATCAATGAAATTATTAAAGGAGGGACATGTTGAGAAAAAAGAGGAACTATGAAATGGTCGCCCTTTTTTAGCAAAACCAAACGATCTTAGTTCTACAGAAAAACAGATGAAAATTGCAATCTCGTACTAATCGGTTGCATTATTATTTATAACTATCTTTTTCCGTGACTCCGCCCGCGTGTATGACTGTTATCACGATGAAAAGTACCCTGTGTCCTTCCTCAAGAATTAAAGTGTCACCAATGTCACTAAAATCGGTTCAGCGGTTTAGTCGTGAACGCGTAACGGACAGACAGCCTGAATAGCTTTCGCATTTACAGCATTATCAGCAATTGCCCGCGGGTCTACCCGCGTGTATGTCGGTTATCGCGGTAAAAATAAACCTATGTTACTCGGCTGATAATGTAGCTTTTCATTTCTGAGAATTTTTATTATACGGTTCAGGTGTTTAGGCGTGAAAGCTTAAGAAACAAACAAATAAACTCACTTTTCCAATAATAATATAAGTATGGATAGTAAAGATTGCATTTAATAAAAAAACATGTTTTATTTACATTACAGGTAATACTAGTTTAATACCTACACCTCAATTAGAAGAAGAATCAACAGAAGAAGATCTGGAACTGACGAAGGTACGTGTTTGATAATAATTGTATGGTGTAGTTGTAAAGGATCCGGAAACAAAGTCTAAAACATTATTTCATTCATTCCTTTTAATTTAGTCTCCTTTTTACATATTTATCAAATATGCTACGGATTAAGGATACGGAGTGTCACCACCCCTTCTCATTCCGTGGGTGTCGTAAGAGCCGTCTAAGGGAACAAACTAAGTTGTACAACAGCACTGCAAAGAGAAGAAAAACTTGAAACAAGCCCTATACCGACCCGTCTGGCCTACGTGTTATAGTAGCCCAAAACCTCATTTCTAAGTAAGAGGCCTATGTCCAGCAGTGGACTATTAAAAGCTGTTGATGACGTTGATGATGGTGATGATTATATGTGTAATTCATATTCATGCTAATACAGTAATATTTTAAGTAAAATAATTTTACCATAAACTAATTTATATTGGGCTATGATTTTACTAAGAAAGCTTCTAAAAACATGGATTTGTTTTTGTGTTTAAGTCTTTACCTTCTTAACACGTAGCAAGGAGCCATTCCGTTGCGTGTAAGTTTGATTTGTTCGAGGCTACTTTATGAAGACATGCTATTTTTAACCAATGTCGTAAATACTAGCAATGTTTCAATTCGATGGTATTTTCTAATATTTGCTACCTCTGAGCTCGGTCGTTTATGAATCAATTTTTAAAAAAAGAAGATTACTGGGCGTACTTCTCATTTAGTCCCATTCACTTTTCAAAAATACCACCCACCACCAAACGGAGGTATGAAGAATACAGTTTATTAAAATTTTTCATGCTACTTTTTTGAAAGAAATAGTAATATCACGTCACACACATTACAACGCCGTTTGTGGTGACATTTACCGATGTTAGGCGAGTTTTAAACCGTTCAGTCTCAGAATGTCCCTTTACCAAAATGCTATAATTCCCAAAATACGTAAGATCTTTCAATGCATTATTTATATAGGTATATAATTTGTCTCCATACTATTATGATACATGCTACAAATAGGTTCTGGCATGATTGATCACAATACTAACCGGGCCTAACCTACCATTATTTGCATATTTTTAACTAAATAATGCAATAGAAATGCACTATATAAACCTAAGAATGGAGACATTCTAGGTAGGGAGGAATTCTTACACAACAATTTTACAGTTAATTACTATTCAATAAGAAGAAAAAAATTTTGCTCTATGCATAACGGTCAGTCCCCCATATAGTGACAGGCTGCCATTAGTACTACTCGTTGCAAATGTTTATACGCAAAACATTATAGAATAACGTGTTATTATTTTAGGATGACAAAACAATAAAAACGCGCCTATATGAACTTCAAGATCTCACGTTCACCATTAAAGACGGCATTGACTTCATTGTATCACTGCTACAAAGGATAAAAAAGTAAGTCTTACTTAATTATGTTTTTTATTCTACTTTCAATCTTTAAACTACTTTGATATGGAGCGAGCTGTATGCTTGGAATTTCTCCGAAGTAAAAAAAATATATGAAATAAATAGTACAAAGAACTCAGGTTGCCGACAAAAAATCTTATACCTATTGCCATTAGAATTTGAATACAATTTTATTTCTTTATACCCTCCAATAAACTTTAATGTCATATTAATTGAATAATTCTGTTTCAGCTTACTCAAGTTTGAGGTGCCATATTTAAGTATCTTGGTGATGACGGCGTTGGTGGTGGCTTCAATTGGACTCTACCTTATTCCTATTAATTATATATTTATGGCATTAGGTTAGTACGACGTACTTATTTCTAACTAGCTTTCACCGGTAACTTCACTAGCGTAAAACTAGTTTTTCGATCTCTGGGTAACATCTTTTTTCTGGGTATGAAGTAACTCCATAATCTGCAGTATAGCGCGCACCAACAAATAATCATTGAGTGTTGCATGGAATTGAACTAAATCAAGAAATATCAACTTTTATAAACACAATGTCAGCTTTCTTTGCCTATTTAGCGAATATTAAGTTATAACTTAAAGACCCCGTTAGACTGCTAGCTTTACTACCGTACTACTGCCGTGCCACGGTTTTCACGCTTCTTGGTGCACGTGCGTCGCACGGACCGTACTCGCATAATTTGAATTAAATAAACTTTGACAAAATACAAAGCTTTAATTTTTTCCTTAGTTTGGCAGTATAAACCGCAGAGAAATGTGATTTGAAAATAGTCTGAAATGTACATTTATTTTATTTTAATAACTTCACAGGTGCCATTTGACAGATTTTGTTAAGTACATATAATAATAATAAAAAATCCACTGTTTTAGGTATTTATAAGTTTACGCGGAAGTTCTTAAATCCAAATAGAGTTCCGAACAATGATATCTTGGACTTCATTTCGCGGGTACCAGATGACAAAATGTTGGTAAGTATCTATTATTTTATTTTCAAAATTTATAAAATAACTACCTAAATGGATTGGATTAATAGTATTATAGTAATTTACACATTACCCTTTTCAAATAAAAATTAGTTTTTAATGTCACAAGGAAGTTCCAATTATTTGTCAATAACATGATCAACCAAAATGAGAATGATTAGTCGAAAGTTAATATCTCTACTAATGTCTCTCATACTATAATATAGGGACCGATACATAAATACTATTTTCAAATATCTAAGGAGTATCTTATTTTTCAGAAACAATGGCGAGAGTTAAAAGTTCCTGAACAACCGATTAGCAGATCAGATTCCAAAAGGCGATAAAAAGAAATACTTAAAAATAAAACTTAGATGGGTACCATAGTGTACTACGATGGCTAGTCCGTAGAGCTTATGGTCATATTCTAGGTCAAACAATTTGGTTATAACTATTTATGATTATTTCAAAAGGATCGGGCCTGGTGCACCTGCATTCATTAAATTATGTTATTTTTATATAATGAAAAGAGGTGGAAAAGGTACGTCACTAAAATTATACTATGTATTGCATATCTGTAGGTAATATGATAATGATAAAGAAAATAAGTGACAAGTAAGACTGCATTACTGCATACTGTCATAAACAATGTCAGTTCTGAAATAGAAACTGTCAAGCATGTTAAAATAATGGTGAACTGAAGATGTTGCGTAATCAATGATGTAATAAAACTTAATTGGTTGAACATCTTATTGTATAAATGGAACTAGTCAAACAAAGTTTCCAGTAACCTATAACTAATTATGACGCCTGATGGTTTTTATGGTGTGCTGGCAACGCCATCTATAGTTCGCTATTTTAACAATACACCCGCCTTAAAAAGTACAATAACTCCTATATGCAATTTGATTTCACACTCGTAAAAAATGTTAATGTCAATTGATTATTGAAAAATTAGAAGTATTTTATTATTATATCAGCAAATATCAAATTGGATAAATATTTCGAACGTTTGGTCAAATCGTAATTTCAAATCCGTAATTTCACATAACACAGTAAGCGCTTCTATGCTTTTTCTGTAGCCGTGCAAACATGATGAAAAGTTAAATTTTATAAGTTTATTATTTAAGAAAAAGAATAGGGTAGGTGGATTCGTGATTCGGTATCAATTATTATTATTAGGCATTTGTGATTGTCGCACAATCGTGCAACTTTTTGATAAAATATCTGATGTGTAAAAATGTATTTATATTTTATTATTTAAGTATTGTAGGTAGTTATAATTATTTAAATCTACATGCATTTCAAATATTTCAATTTAGAAATATTTGATTTATTAATGTTGTGCGGTTTTTGATTTGCCATTTGTTATACACTAATCTTCCTATCAATTCTTTTGACAGACAAGATTAAACTATATGTATAAATATCTTCGCCATTTTACGAATATGTCACAACAGTTTACCTAAATTAGGTATACGGATGGTTTCGTATGTGTATGTCGTGGACGCCCGACTGGTTTCGGACTCGACGGTGACTTTACTCGAGAGCATAGCGTCCTGCCGCGACGATGTCATTCTTAACACTTGTTTACATTAATATGTAACACAGTAAGAATAAACTATACAATTAAAAGCATTATACTATGCGGATACCTTTAAATAATGCGTTATTTAAAGGAAAAAAATGTGATGATTAACTTAAGAATAATAATAAGAACATATAATAAAATAAATAAAACGTCCTTTTTGAAATGTACTTTTATTTTATGTGATGTAACCTACAGTGAAAACTTATGCAATGGACTAAATTATTGACGAATGTTTTATAATTTAATTGCATACATATAAATATAATATCAACTTTATCCTTACATAGCACTATATACTCATTGTAAACTATAGAGTTATCAAGATTTACGAAGCATTGGGTATAGTTGGTTTGATCCCAAAACTACCAGATATCCTGGGCTGTTGAGGTTCCGGAACGCTGAGCTCCTTCCAATCTTTCTGTAATTAAATAAAAAAAATGTACATTTAATTAAATTCAACCATTACCTTAATTTTTTTCAGACGAGAGAGTGTTTGCAATCTATCAAAATTGAAACATTTATATTCAAGAATTTTTACTGTTATGTATTGCCAAACTGAAATCAACAATCAACATTTTTTGAAATCAGTTTAGTAATTTATTTATTTATTTGAAGGAAAACCAACAGCTTTAACATTGAGATAGTGAAAATAATATAAAACATTTAGCCAATTAAAGTGTTCGCCGATAATTTAGGCGTGAAAGCGTAACCAACAAACAAACCAACCAATAAAACAAACAAACTGAGTTTGAAATTAATAATATAAGTATGGATTGTTCTGCCTTTACATTTTATTCACGAATTTACTTTTACAACTTACATACCTACCTAACACCTGATTTAATATAGACTATAAAAACATCTTTACGTGCTACCAGACTAAAATTGTGAGTATCTAAATAAATAGCGGCAACAGGAGTTTTGATATTAGTCTTCCTATTTTCTTCGAACACTAAGCGATTGTTTCGAAATGTTATATTTTAAAAGCCATACACTTTGTGGTAATTGATCACTATTAACATAATTCTCAACATGGTTCAGAAAACAAAACACTAACTTACCAACATTTTGTGATCAGGTATCCTTGATATGAAGTCTAATAAATCATTATTCAGCACTCGTTGAGGATTTATACGCTTTCTAAAGAATTTATATAAACCTTGAACAGAAAACATAATTATTAAAAAAATATGTCTGCTTCAAACTGTTTATATCACTGTAGGTATGTTGATATAAAAATAATATAATGATAATAATAATAAACGGTATATAGGTAATATGTAACTACAAAAGTAGATGTACAGGAGATAACAAAAATTTGGCTAACTTTGAAATAAATATATAAAGTGATAAAAATATTAAGTGTTTACGTAAGAGCATTTACAGAAACTCAAAAGCATGGAAAACCATACTCCGCCGCGGACTTTGGGGTTGGCGAGCAGGGCAACCGCCCGGGACCTTGCTCATGCAGGACCCTCGCGCAACAAACCAAACAGAAAAATAATTAAATAAGTATTTGAATTTCGGGCCACGCATTTTAAAACTCACGTCTCACTAGTCGCGGTTATTATCGTGATGTTTACGATTTACGTTCGGGGATTGCCCGTGTTTCATTTCGCCTGTCATTTTGACAGGCTTTCAGATTCAACTGTGTATGGCTTATGCTTTTATGTTCGAGCAATATGTGTTACGTTGAATTTTTTGTTTTAAGTATCATCAACTAAACTAATTCCACGAAGACAAGGGCTTCGCAATGATCTAACCGCCCAGGGTTCGCTTCGATATCATGCCTCACAGAATTAACCAATTTTTCGTTACTTTTCACACGCGTGGTCGTTTGCCTTACCTGCCTACTAGCGATGTTGCGAATATTCGCATCTGCAGCCGCCTATGCGGAACATCCGCATCGATTTAAACATCCGCATCTGCATCCGCATCAGTATAAATCGATGCGGAGCTGATGCGGATGCGGATGTGTAGCAGGTCGCGACAAGAAAGAAAGCACGTGCTGATTGACCAATAGGAAAGCAATAATTTTGTTTTGGACTTCGGTGTATCGATGACGGTGACGGGCCTCGCTATTGTTTTGTTGTGACAAGATCTGACGCGCACGTTTGTTTTTATTGCGCTTTTTGTTAAGAAGTGTCATCGCATATATCTAAGTAACTGTATTGTTTACGTACGTATGTAATGTACTACGTATTACTGATGAAAATAACCGGGATAAATCTCAGTGTAAAATATGTAGTAAAACATATTCTCGAAAGGGTCGAACTACATCGTCGCTAAAAAATCATCTAAAATCGATGCACCCTGAAGAGTTCACTTTGTTTGAAAAAGCGAATAACGAAAAGCAGCTACAGAAAATAGTAATACCGGTAGGTTATATTTTAAGGCAAAATTACCTAATTTAGTTAGGTACTTACTTAACTTTTAATACTTAACTTAATTATTGTATATTTATTCATATGTACTTATATAAATTTGCTAGAAATGCTCCAATATTTCAATTTAATTACTAAAATAATTAATTAGTAATAGTAATTCACTCAATACTTTATTATTAAATAAAGAAAGTAGTAATATTACTGTTTTACCCTGCCAAACGAACACTTAAGTTTTTTGTACAGATCCGCATCCGTATCCGCGGATGTGAGCCTCTTAAAATCCGCATCTGCGTCCGCGGATGTAAAAAAAAATGCATCCGCAACATCCCTACTGCCTACCGTAAAAACAGCATATTATTACTCATTTTCAAACAAGACTTTTATTTATTTAAAAACATGCTTATGATGATAATGCATACCTAGGTATTTAAAAATATATTTTAATGCTAATCTTTATCTGTTGAATGTTTTGTTTAGTTTGTTAGAAGCCCAGTTAATAGTTACACTGTTTTGTTTTGTAAAAATTAAACTCAAATGCCAACAAAAACTTATTAACTTACCAAGAGAAATCATCAAATACTTGAAAGGTAATATGTAAAGGATGACAGATCCAAAAATAAGTAATACCATTGCCAAAAAACTCAAAAAAGGGACTTTAAAGGCTGCCAAACTGAAACGAATAAGGTAAAGCTATATTAAGATACTTGTTTTCGTAGAAGACTAAGTTACTAGACTACTAAGTTTTACGCGAGAGATTTATTTGTCTTCAATGCAAAAATGAGTTTGAATTACAAATGATACTTATATTAAACCATTCATAAGGCATTTTACGCTATAAATGGAATAGTAAAAAAATTAAATTAAAAATTTAATTTAATTTGGTTCAGTTTTAGTCGGTAAGAGTCCGACAGACCCCTTCGCCATTCCCCACTGGGCGAAGGACATCCATGAGGATCTTCCACCCGGTTAAAAAAAAAAAAGCTATGGCCAGCCTTCGGCTCTAGTTCCAAAAATATATAATTTATATCTCAATATTATAGGAACTGAAAAAAAATATATTTTAGAAAATAAAGAGAATCCCGGAAATCACCGCGTCCACTGGAATTTGTTCAAAACATCTGGTATTGAATTATCAGATATTAATAATTATCCATTATGAAATATGAAAGTTCAAAAGGTTGTACGAAATGCTTCATCATCATTATCAGCCTACTGGGGTCCATTGCTGAATGAAGGCCTTCCCCAAGGAGCGCCAACCATCCCGGTCTTGTGCAGTCCGCATCCATCCGCTACCTGCCATTTTCATGAGTAATGCTTATGGGAAATTTAATTTGTTAAAAAAAAGTGAAATGTTATACGTGGTGGTTAAACTGTATGTAGCATACAATTTAAAAAACCTTTCTGAATCCTAAAGAATTACTAACAGTTATTCTGGGTTATGTAATAATTATATTAGTTCATGAACATACTTATATAATCTTTCAGCTACCGACACCATATATTCAATACCATGCGTTATTGTCAGGGTCATCTCTGGCAAACCTTTGACTTTGTCGGTGATTGTATCGCCGTTCTGTAAATCATCAATAGTTCCCATATCCACCACTTCTTCTGTGGCAAGCGTTTTTGTAAAATCCCAACCTGTATAATTTTGTAATACATACTTTTATTAGATACCACTTTGTGATAAAATTAATTTAGATGTATTCTAAACTACTAATCAAGTACCTAACAGAAAATGTTTATAGTTATAGGTACGGATATCGCGAGACTAATACGAGTAAATGCAATTGTCCAAGTTTATTCTACGATTGCCCTTTTATTCATTACATTCAAAATTCTTTTTTTAGTCATTTCTGCATAGAGAATAAGCAGTTACCTTGATAGGCAGTTTAAACTTTGGCAGACATATATTGTGATAGATGTCTGCAAAAGTTTAAACAGCCTATCAAGCCTATATCACATAAACAACAATATTTACAATAAATACAACATTGGAAAAAAAAAACAACATTGGAGACTTACATTTTTCTTGATCATAAATGTAGACTACGGGAAATAACGCTAATGTCAACAATGGACCCATCCATGGTTCAAAATAGTACCAGAAGATAAGCCATATAATTAGCGCAGCTGCTGAAAATTCTCGATCTTCCCACTCGAATAAATGCCTGAACAAAAGAGATTTAGATATTATTCTGCAACGTAGCATTTTTTCAGCATGAACGCAGTTGAACCGACTAAAGTCATGTATCGGCGGAACATTGTAAACTCAAACTCAAATATCTTTATTTCATACAAAAAATTAAATTTATTGAAATCGTCTCTTGTGTAGACTCTAAAGACATAGATCTCTGTTTTATCAAATATTTAGCTAACTAAATGTATACGTATCAAAAATCTCTTATATGCCTGTGCCTATCTACCACCGCCCTTTTCCAAGGGGTTGATAAGAAGAAAGGACAAACAAACTCACGGCCACTCTTTTCAATCAACAGATAATAATGGCATCATTAAATATACACAACATTGTTTTGATGTGTGCCAGCATGTAAGTTTTAAGGTTAAGAAGGTAAAAAGGCAATGAAGAGAAAACAAGATATAGAAAAAAGATGGAATAAAAAAAGTGAAGTAAAACCTAACAAATGGAAAATTAAATAAAAGACACACTAGCCCATATTACATTTTCACTATGAAATAGCCTGTACTAAATTAAACCTAGCATTCTTGTCTTCTATGTAATCCACAATTGAGTAATAGGCCCTCTGACACAGTTTACGTTTTGTTGTGGATTTAAATTTGTTTATACTAAAATCTTGTATACTATTCGGGATTTTATTATAGCATCGGACATATTGACCTCGAAATGACTTGTTTATCTTTTGGAGCCTAGACCTAGACCTAGAGCCTTAGGCAGGTACAACAAGTTTATTTCTATTTCTGGTATTAAAATCATGTAGACTCAATTCACTTCTTTTCAAGAAGCTATCTTTGTTTTTTATTAACATATATTGCATTTTCATATTTACAGGGTTACTGGGTAAGTCGACCTAAACCTTAAGGGGTTGTAGTTGTCATTATTTCTAAAAGATTTCACTATGACATAACATAGCTCAAAAATAACAATTTTCAAGATATTGGACTTTTTAGATTTTTTACAAAAATCGCCTAAATTTTGCCTAATACAATTTTTTTAGAATTTATATCCTTTATTTTATGCTATTTTACTGTTTTTGTGTAGTTGATAAATTGGTTTATAATTTCAAGTGCTATAATTGTAGTTAACAAGCTGGGCCGAAGAAGATAAAAGAATATTTAAGAGAGTTAAAAAAGAATAGAGGATAGTTACAATTTTTTTTTACAAATCTATAAAAAAATATATATGATAGTTAAATTATATTCTCAGCTATCTAACAAAGTAAGTCTAGGATAGTATCAGAATTTATAAAAAAACTTATTTTATTATTTTTCCCTGTTATTAACCATCTACTTTGGCCTAGTTTGTTAAGTTACCTATAATTTTAGTAATTGAAATTTAAAAACAATTTATCAAATACCCAAAAACATTCCAAAAAGCATAAAATAAATGATATAAGTTCTAAAAAAAATTTATGAGACAAAATTTCGGCGATTTTTATAAGAAATCTTAAAAGTCCAATTTCTTGAAAATGGTTATTTTTGGGATATGGTATTTCATAATGAAATCTATCAGAAATTATGGCAACTATAACCCCTTAAAGCATTTAAGTTGACTTACCCAGTAACCCTGTATATTGACTTGCCACTGCCATTATGTTTATTTCTTTAAATTTTCGCCTCAATGAACAACGATTGCCTAAATTGCACGGATGGCGTAGTGGTTTAAGCGGTCGCCACGCCGCTTCCTACTACGCCGAGTGTTGTGGGTTCAAACCCCACATGGGACGACACTTTGTGTGATACACAAATTGTTGTTCTGAGTCTGGGTGTACTTTGTGTCCGTTTCATGTATGTTGGTAAAGTCCCCCGTGACACAGGATTTATTCCTAGTGCGGGAGTTGAATTAAAAAAAAAATATATATATATAAATTGCTCCAGCATTCCCGGCAGCATTCTCTCCACAGGAGAATACCGTACGACATTATGATATGAAAATAACTGAAGTAAAAAAGTCGTGCTGTATCAATGTCAGTCAATTCTCGAATTTTTCTAACTGCGTACGCTGCTGAGCTGAGTCTACTCGATAATTTATCTATATGCGGGCCCCACTGTAGCTTAGAATCTAATGTTATTCCTTAAAAATGTTGTTTTATCTACAAGGTTTATCTCCACATCCTTAATCATTACAGTGGTTTTCATTGGCTTGACGTTTAGCGTGGTGAACGGTATACACTTAGTTTCTTTTATTCAAAAGCAACGTTGTTAACGTCAAACCAATGCACCACTTTAGAAATGGCGCTGTTTACGTCTGTAAAATTAGTAAGTAAGCGTTTGAGTCTAAATAACCGTGATGTATCATATGCACACAACACAATCTCGTGATTATCCTGGACAAGGTGGGGGTCTTTAATATATCCTAAAAACAAAAATGGGCCGAGAATAGAACCTTGTGGAACGACTATTACTATCACAGAACCCGGAGATCGCTCACCGTTAATTTCAACTTTCTGAATCCTATTAGTTAGATATGAAGCAAGAAGTTCCAGTGCTTTAGTTTTGATACCATAGTGCTGTAGTCTCCTGATCAGCGTTTCATGAACAACACAATCAAAATCTTTAGATAAATCTCAAAAGATACCTAGAAAATCGTGGGCATCCTCCAAGGCATCAAATATATTTTTATAAGCTCAACACTAGCATCAGTTGTGGAGGGACCCCTAGTAAAATCAAATTGTCTATTGTGTAATGAATTAATATTATTAAAATAACTTTGTAATTGATCACACTCAAAATACAAGTAAACATATTAAGTTGCGAATAAGCCACATACTTTCTGGTACGCAAGCAAAGAAATTGAAGACGAAAATTCATCGTTTTTTCAACAACGTAAAAATATTTCAACGATGCAAATATGCACAGTTTTATTAATCTAACTCTGAGCTTGATTACTATGTCAATATGATAATTTAGTGAGTGTAATTTAGTGTATGTAGTAAAATGATGAAATATAACAGTTTATACTAGCTTTATAGTACACGTTCTAAATATTAGAATTTTGAATTTATGAAAAAAGAAAACTGAAACTCAGTACAAAAGCAAGTAAGTATTGAAATAAAATATAGTAAATGGTCGACATGTACAATATCTTTAAACTCATAGTAATAACTATATTTGTCAACTGTACACAGATCAACATGTATATATACAGACAAAAACATATTTCAAACCCACTGACTACATTATTAAATCATATAGCGTACCTGTGCCATAGGACAAGCAACTTACTTGAAATATTCATTGATAACATAAAGAAACTCGAACGTATCTCTAATGAATTTCACATTCTTATAAACAAGTGCTAAGTCGAATTTTGGCTCCTTGGCTATATACTTGACCTGCTTAGGACGGAACAGTTTCAATGAAGCGGTCACCTGTAAGATAACATACATTATTTTATCATTAGAAACAATATTACGATATCTAAAGATATAGCTTTTTCACGGATAACGGTTACTGTAATAGATCCTGATTGTGTTTTTGTTCTTATCACTTTTTAATCACTTCATGGTGGGTATTCTACATATCAAAATCAAGTATGTTTACATAAATTTTTCCACCTTACTTACAACTTATAAGATAAAGGTGAAATACCCCAAATTATATTAAAAGGTCCTTGGAGTAGTAGTACTGCGAACTATTGTAATCTGACACATAGTCATGATAAAGTTTTGAAATAACTATTTGGAATAATTTCAGTAAAGATAATTTTAAACGCTGACATACGAGTATGGTTCAAAATCCACGAGTGTAAATAGTAATTTTTACTTAAATATAACGATACCGAAATGCTTTAAAGATGTCAGCTTGTTACTAGTTATTATTAGTCTGATCTAAATATTAAGAGGTAGGTCAGATCACGGTAGCGTTACTTACAATCAGACTATTTGTCGTTTACATCTAACTACAGAATTCATAAATATTAACAAATTTTCACTTTAATATAATAAACCTCCAAAGGCATTCAAGTGGAACGAGCAAGTGCTTGAAAAGTATTAAAATAGGTTTAATACCAATTATCTGTGCTTATTACTTTCAAAAGCTTCTTCGTAACTTAGCCATGTTAGTTTTGAAGTAAAACATCTCTACGCACGCTTGACTTGGGGAGTAAGCTGGTGAATACGTGACGAGAGCGTTCCGAAAAGTGTGATCGAGCGAGGCGAACGGAAGTTGAGAGGAAGATATAAGTTAGTGAAGATAGGAAGAGAGAAAGTTACGTTTTATATATTACTGTTTTTTTTTTATGTTAGAGGGGCAGACGAGAAGACGGTTCACCTGATGGTAAGTGATCATCGCCGCCCATGAACGTCTGCAACTCTCTAGGGACAAGAGAGAGAGGTGACAGCACGCATTTTCTTTCTCTCTTTCTCTCATAGCCAAGAAGTTTTACTTCAATCGTGATGTCTAAAGCAACTCGTTTTTTTTCCCATCAACTGATAACTTTAATAAACTTACTGGATTCCAAACCAAAGACAATTCTAATCTGACTCTAGGACAGTTTCCTCTTGCACCTTTCCTTTTATTGTTATCTTTGAGTGCATACCAGCGCATTTCACCATCCTTTATTCTGAGTAAAGGTATCGTCACTCTGCCTAGGAAGTCGTTAAGTAAGGAATTTATAGAACTGTCGAGTACTTTTACTTCAAGGGTTGATGTAACGTCATAAATGTTGCTGCAAAAGTATAAATAAATTAAAGTACGTTGCTTCATGGCCATGGATTTATTACCAATTGCTTAATATTAAAAACTATTTTACGCAATGCCATTTGATGATGTAACACTATAATGGTCAGATATGATGCCTAAAGTGATTCTTCTGTCTTTTTTTATGGTAGGTATAGGCGACAAACGAAGAGACGGGTCACCTGGTTGTGAGTACCTATTTACTGGCGTTTTCCTATAGTGTGAGAAGCAATTAATGTATTGTTTATTTTAAGCTTTTGTAAAGCAAATAAAGAAGTCAGTATACTAAAAAAATACAGCTACACTTACAATACATAACTTTTGTCCCAAACAGGCTCAGCGCTGTAAGAAGCCTTGGGCGTGTGTATTTTCTCATTTTCCAATTCCAATGTACAGTATGCGCTAGGTTTGCCCTTTAAACCCCTAGCTCCATAAACTCTGACATGCAATTGGCCGACGAGATTTAAATCCGTACTGACGTTATAGAAGGCCTATAACATATTAAGTATTCACTGTCATTTTAGAAAAATAATACATAAATCTACTCTTCATAAAATACCATTAACTTTTTTTGGAAATACCATTTTTAGACTTGCAAACGCATATATCAATTTATATTTACAAAAAAAAAAATCATTTTTTTAAGTTATATAAGAATGTTTGTTAGTTTTACTGAACTAGATTTGGATTTTCTTATTTAATCTTAATTTTTTCTCATCTTTTATTTCTTTTATACAAACACAAAAATTTACATTTTATGCTTTATTGTTAACAAAAGTAAAATTCACAATTCTGAATTAGATGGGTCTAGATTAAGCTTTTTCGACATTGTCTTACCCTTGATATATGTATTATTGTTACCACTACAGTCTTTAGTCAAATTATGTCTTTCTTAATTTTTTTTGGATACTTACAAATTTAGAGCGCAAGTCATCAACTTTATATTCTGGATTAGAAGTACTTTCAAGTTGCTTTAAAATACATATCGTGATGGACAGGTGTAAGGAGCCATAGTTTTCATCCAGTTGCTGCCAAATATCATGTGTCCGCTCTTTTTCAAGGTTTGACAGATCTAGAACACAACTTTAAAATCATTCCATTAAGATGTACAACAGATGGTTGTAGTCATAATTATAAATAAAAATAATAAGTTTTTGCTCTGACTAGATACTTTAATCAAAGCTTCTACTAATTAACTACAACTAGTAATTTCAATCAAAGCACTAACATTTGCAGCAAAATTCAAGTTTTCGTTTAACTAATCAATTTAAAAGTGAAGCAATGTAACTATTATTTAAACAGACAGATAGCATAATATAAATGAAACTACCGAGAGTTCCACACACAACAAAAACATACTACAACATTAAGAATAAAACATCACACAGTGAAGTCACACTGAACTACGTAATATCTATATTTTATTCTAATTCTGATTGGCGATGATCCAATCTCAATTACTTAGTATTACGTTTACTATCTTCACTTGTGTTCTTTTAATGCGGTGGTTAACATCCAAAATTAACGTCAGAATTAACAGGAAGTTCTGAGGTCTTTAAATCTATTTTGGTATAGCTCTCATCACGTCACTTCAAAAAGCAGTGTTTCTTATAATTTGGTTATTATTAATTAATATATTAAATATTTAATGCCGATAAATCGATCGTTTTCATCTACCTTTTGCACACAATGGACTTTGTAGTTGTTTAATCTTAATGATAAGGTGCATAACGGTTGGCTCTCTTGAGTTACTACTCAAAGTCTGTTTAGAATATAAAACTAATTATCTACACGTCGTTACAGTTGCATATTGAAGGTAGACACACCCGACACTGACATCGTCCCAGCCATGATATATGACTGGCAGACGTAGAACACAGACGGTGTCGAAACTGCCAGATATAAAAGTTCCGAAAAAATATTTTGTGCGTACAAGCTGTCTCTGAATAAAATAAATACATGTATCTTTCGCAATCCAACAGTAGCCGACAACCTTGGCTCAATTTATTATATCGATAAACAAACATTAGCCTTTCAAAACAACAATATGGTATATCTAAATCCTATCGCATTAAATATACATACAACTAGGCATAAAAGTTTCAATAGCATGCCTCATTAAAAAAAACATTAACTTTAGTAGTGGTAATAGCGCTAGTTTGGGAAGTGAATCGTTATTACCTACCTAGGTCAGACCCTTTTAGGAAAGGATCCGAATCATTAACAGAGTATGTATCTGCACTCTGACTAAATTTGTTATAAAATCTATTGCCTTTAGTTTAAACAGCTTTCTAGATCTGTCGGAAATAGTTATGATTTATATGAACCCCTGAAATCCACATACAGTTGAGGTTTTATCGAATTGTTTTTATCAGTTTGATTTAGAATTGCTTTTTAATGGCAACCATAGAAGCTAGTCTAGTGGCATATAGAAATATAAATACTACAATAAACCCATTATAGCTTCATTAACATACCTGCCCATAAAGTTTTTATGCTTCCCTTTATCCCATAGCGATATATGAAGAAGCTGGTCACTATCACCGTTTAATTTGAATCTCTCCTTCCATTGTGGGTATCGTGTGGTCAACACAGATTTTGATTTACAAGTATGAGAACCCAATCTGCAAAAAATACGAATATTAAAATATGCAGACACGCTTTACGGTACAGTTCTTAGATGTAGAATTTGCTGTGAAAGCATATACTTGCTGCCTACATCGAAAATAGACAAACACACATCCAGAACTAATGACCCCGAGAAACAAGTCTTGACCTATGAAGCAGCCACTATCATACATTTTAATATACTTCTCGTTAATTTCACGTTCTAGGGAACCATGTTAATTAGTGAGTGGTACCTCCAAAGTATCTTTTAATTTGGTCGTGCCTATATACTACAGATAATAATGTAAATACAATTCATGGAAGTGAAGGATTAGAGAAAAGTACGTTACCTGTATTTTACGAGGTTTCTCGAAGTAATAAAGTGGAAAGATTCAACATTTTCTAACTAAAAATATTAAATTATCCCCACCAAAACTCTTTGAACATACCTACTACAAATATGTAATAGGTTCAAAACATGTTTGACTCAGCAACATAACGTGACAATGATTTAATGTTCAAATTGATCTAATCTCACAGGTTTTGATTTACGGTAAATCATGCAAGCCAAGTGGCGAAAAATAAAAAGTTAGGCAAAAACCGCATGGTACTGTTGGGGATATTGAACAGCTCCACGCGCAGTAAAAAGCAAGTGTCACTCAGTCCTCGTCGGACAGTGAGGATTAACAGGAATCTAATTTTAGCATTTATAGTAGATCTTTTACCGAAATTTGCAATAGACTCCATGGGACAGTCCATCATCTGGTACATCGGGGAGCCCTTTAGCTTCTACTAACACAATATTTACGATTATATTTCTTTGTGTTTTGTCCTTTATTGACTTAGTGGATTCCCTTCTGTTCAACTGCAGAAAAAACATGTGTATTACTAATTAATATTTTTATAATATTGATAAAAACGTTATCTATCTATATATAATATCCGGATACATTGACTTTATAGATAAAAAACCACGCATGCCCTTGATATTTCTTACATTTCAACTGAAAGACAGCATTTTCGGTATATCGTTCCACACACCGAAATGTTTGTCTCCATCACCTGGATAATTGGTGCTAAACCACTAAGCACTTTTCAAGACACTTTTTGGCTCGCACCACTTATCTGTGGAACAAGTTATCCTCTGCGGTATTTCCGGACCGATACGACCTTCAAACTTTCAAGAAAACTCCTTACTCCTTCCAAAAAGACCCGCAACACGTTTGTGACTCCTGAGTTGCGGGCATTCATGGATGGCGGTAGTCACTTTCCTCACTGACCCGGCTGCTCGGCGCCTCTTTCATAATATACCTATATATATATATGACATATTACCTATTGCTGTAAGAAAGCTCAATAGACTTATTGCGCTTAAACCTTACGCTTAGAACGATATGACTCTGATGGCCAAAACTCTGGATAAAGATTAAAGTCCTCATCTCATCATCAGTTGTATCTGTTTAAATATTAAAAAAAATACTTTCGCTAGGCACTTCTTATTACTAATGTCGCAATGTCGCAATCTTATTTAAGTAGGGAAATAAAAGTGATAAAAATCACACGAAAATAAAATAAACATAGATATCTACAACCCAGGACGCCCAAGGTATCTAGTATTAACTCAAAAAATATTAGTTTTTAAAAGTAATTTCACAGCAACGTCTTGTTAGAAGGCTATTCTTTATACTTAATCCCCCGTAAGTTATCACAAAAAGTATAAATAACTATTATATAAATTTTGTAGCAATTTGGGCAAAAAAATTGGGCAGTTTTAGATTTTCTACTCTATTCCTCTTTTAGTACTTAGTGATGTTCTAATTTCTAACTTTCGAACTGTAACTTAGAATTAAATGTTAGGACATAATTTAATGTTATAGCAAATTACAACTAATAAAAAAAACTACAAGTTACTATTTTATTTAATCACTGATAATTAATTTAATAATATTAATAACAAATAATTCATCTTTTACTTTTTAATTTAATCTGTTAGCGCAAATAAACTCGTGCTATTTACCTTTTCATTGTTCGATGGTCCAACTGCTGGAGGAACAAGAGGAACTTCCGGTGCATTTTTATTATTTACAGTTGGCTTTGACTCCAATACGGGATTACTACCGTGTATATTCCTCATAATATCATTAGCGGTATTGACAATACAACTAGGTCGCCAACTAGGTACAAACAAAATTTGCTTAAATTAAAAAAAGTAATTCATCACGTCTCTAATAGCACGTGCAATTGAGACAGTTTTTTTTTATGGAGCAGCGTGCTTTCTTTTCCGTGTGGTGACGGAATAAGAATACGTAATGTCACCACCCCTATTCATCCCGATGGTGTCGTAAGAGCCGACTAATGGACCAAACTACGCAGGACAACAGCACTGCAAAGAGAAGAAAAACTTGAAACAAACCCCATACCAACCCGTCTGGCCAGCGTGATATAGTAGGCCAAAACCTGCTTTCTAAGGAGAGGCCTATGTCCAGCAGTGGACTGTTATAGGCTGTTGATGTGCTTTCTTATCAGATCATATCAGATCGTATTGATGTCTTGATTTTGTATTAGTTTCTGCCACTCCAAAATAATTAAAAATTGACAGCATGTCTATTATTTCCCATTTCTCTATTTTCGTTCTCCTCTGTTAGTCTAAGTGACACGTGGATAAAGTGAAGGATAAGACTACTTATTCGTGAGGGGTTTTTCTACACTGACACCCCATCGTTATAGGAATGTCAATATTAACAAAGCTGTTTGGATTATCGTGACAATTTTGAGTAAAATATTAATATTGATTTTATAGTTTTGCAATTTGACATATTCGATGTGTAAATCGGGACGTAATCCTGACACACATGACGGACTCCACTCATGACAACGGTTGGTGCAATTTAATCGAAACGTTGGGTACCTAAAAGAAATTGTACTTTATAACTGTTCTATGTGCACATCGAATACTTACTAGTTATTTACATATAGAAAGAATAAAAGAACTTACGAGAATGGTATAATATTCCGAAGTAATACAGCGCTATTCTCAGGGTTCTGAGTACTACTATCTTTATTCACTTCCATGTGTCTACTTACATTTAATTGTTATTTAAATGTTAACACTACAATAAGAATAAGCTCAGTGTAATAAATTGTCAATATATTGTCACTTGTGTAATGTCTCTGGTAATATTCTACATATGTCTGATAACACAATAATCGTATTTATAATTATGAGATAAAGCGTTCATAAATATGTATAGTATCAAATGTTATCAATTCAATTCTGATTAATGTTTTGTAATTTTTATACGCAGCTGTTGAGACATTTATGCATATAATTATAAACATATAATTAGTTCAACAATCAATGAAAATATACACGTAATAATTATTTTTTTGGGAATTATTGAAAATGGCATTGCTCATGTAATCAGGTAATTAGAGGCGGATCAAGTATTAAGAGCGCCCTAGGCAAACATCTCATCGACGACCCCCCCGCATGCGCTCCAGGCCAACTCTAAAGTTTAATTGTCATTGCCTTACTAGAACTTATTCACCAGAATTTATATTTATAAATGTGGCTACGTTGGTACATGCATGGGCTTTCACCCCACCGGGGTTTACGGTAGGCCGTGTATGAGATAGGAGGGATCCGGATACATTGATTTGTGTTTCGTACACTTTTTTTAACATTTGTCCGCACGTAGGGATCCGATAACAGTTTTTATTAAGACGTCCGAGCCTTTATTTTTTGTAACAGATGGCTTACCTACCTGAATCCGAAAATTCATCATTTGATTTTTTAAGTAGCGATTCAGAATAATGTTCAATAAATAAACATTACATTACGAAATAACTCTTTTTTTTAAAAAACCCGTATATAACCCGTAAATAACTATAATTGTATTTGTACGACTGTACCTCTTGTCACGCACACAAAGTCACTGTATATGTACAAGGTTTACCCACACATAGGGCCGCGCGCACATCTGATTTGAACTATCTATACAAACATGGTTAGCTAAAGTTAGTTAAGTGCACCAGAAGCATCTTTATCAGATGATTACATTGTTGCATAGTAACACAATCAACAGAAACATGGTCAATATTACTTTAATTTACTTTATATAAATTTTAAGGTAAATTTTAAGGTAAGGAAATAAATACTAATTAGTAGGTTTTATTATCTGAATTGTAAAAAAAACAGCGTGCGGGGTCTAGGACCCCGCCCCGGTCGGAACGAAGTTCCTTTCGAAGATAAATTATTAAGTAGACTCAGCTCAGCAGCATACACAATAAGAAAATTTCGAAAGTTAACTGATTTCGTAGATTGAGACTATTTTCGTAGCATAATGTCGTACGGTATTTTACTGTGGGGGAATGCTATCGTCATTCAAACTATTTTTGTGCTACAAAGAGAGCCGTTCAAGCAATTTATAATTTAGGCAAAATCTCTGGGAGGACCTGGACCATGTGATTTCATGTCCCCCGGATCAATGTGGCACCAAGCTAGGTCCTATCTCAGGAGAAGCCGCAGGCTTCCCCTGCCTTTTGGCCCAATCGCTACCCTTGTGTTGTGGCCCGACCGTGTTTTGATACGATTGCTGTCGAGGAAAAATCTCGTCCGATTCGATCTACAAAGACCTCCTGCTTATTTTTCGGCATTTTCTTGCGCATGCTGGTCGGAATCCCAATCGGCTGCACAATGCTGGTATTAGGCGGTCTACTTACGTCCGATCGAATTCAGGTACTCACCGAAGCAACCATGCCCTAGGAGTACCTGCGTCAATTAGTAGGTGACGCGGCCTGCCTTCCTACTTAGCCACTCTTCGAGGTTAGGTATAAGGGCACTAAAAGCTCGTTGGCGCACATTTCACGGCTAGTCCAGTCGCACACCTTTGCATCTGTGCCTGTGGGTGAGTGCTTCGCTGCATTTTCACCGCTCCCATCCCGCTGAATCGCACGAGTCTGGTCACTGACCCTCGTGTTTGTATCCGCTAGGATATCCCACAGCACCAAACGTGCCAGGACTGTCACCGACTCCAAAGAGATGATGAATAACCGCTACCCGCTGCATTTAATGGAGCTGTGTTTGGCAGCGGGAGGAGGCCGATACGTGTTTAGCTCATATTGGTGCTCCGTATAGGGCCATGGTTCGTATCGCCGCACATTATAGGTGGTGAACTCACGGTGGTACCCACGGCTCCCTTAGATTAGACAGCAGCAGCAGCAGCCTAATATGCCGTTTGAAATCGACCTTTGTTTACCCACACGCTAATGAACAAGTGGTTAAGAGCTGAAATTCTTGTAAAATCACAGGGATTCCGCCTTATGCCGCGCGTTAACCGTAGGCCCAGACCGCTGATCTTTTGGACGACACAAGCTACCCCTAATATAGTCAGCTCCGAGTCATCCTCCGCGTAACAGACGACACTTACGCCTAGAGGAATACTATTTCTTGAGACTGCATTATGCGCGAGGTTCCACAGGATAGAGGTCTTAGGACCGACGCATGGGGAACCCTACTTGTCACCTCCCTTCAATATTCTTCTCCGTCTCGAGTCATAACAGATCGAGGCAGTATTTCACTCCGACCCACCGCCTTCAACTCTATAAGGTGCAAGTCCGCACGCATATGGAAAACTGTTGTAGAGGAACGGGTGTCATGTCCCTCCAACCAGGCGAGGTGATCATGTCTGGCAGGCTGCGGCCCAACGGTTGATGTTGGGAAGTTGTATATATGCTAACCGCGCTGTAGTATGTTTCTGTTTCTATGTGTGTGTGAGTCTCCACACTGTTCTCATTTCTATGCAGGGGCACCTCAGTACCAGCTTCTCCCTCTGGACCACATCCAAGGAAGAGCGACTCGAATCATCGATAGTCAAAAGATGTCCGATCGGCGTTACGTCATATCGTATATATCACGTAGTGTTCCGAGCAATTGTTCGTACTAATACTGGCTGCATCTTGCCGCCATTGTTCCACACGGCAATATCCCCATCACTTGGATAATTATTAATTGACACTCTACCAATGTGCGCTTATCAAGACACATTTTGCCTCGCACAACTAATCTGTTTAAAAAAGTTGTCGTCTGCGGTATTTCCGGACCGATACAATCTTCAAACCTTCAAGAAAAGCGCGTACTCCTTCCTCAAAGGCCGGCAACGCGCTTGTGACTCCTGAGTTGCAGACTTTGACCAGTCTGCTTGTTTGCCCCCTTCTTTCTTTCATAAAAAAGCCGAAGAACTGACTTTGGTAAGAAATTAAATCACGCAAGTTACAAACTAAAAGATTTTTTCAAATCTATATGCTTTGTAATATTCTGCCATAGCGATTTTTTTTTAACTATCATGAGTAGGCATATCGTGTCAAAGTATGTTTGGTAAAATAAATGTTTTGAGCATCTATGTCTTGGGAACGAAAGAAAAGGGGCCTCGCTGATGCGACTTCGCCAACGTCTATTTTAGTCTTAGTTTTTTCGTACCCAAAGATTTTCTTTTTACTTGTGATTATAATTTACTTTCAATTAAATTCAACATTAGCAATGCATTTACCCTTTTTTTCTGTGTGGAAATCCCTTCGGATACCACCCACCGGTGGCTATGTCGGATTGGAACCGACTAAAAACTGTACACCGTCTCGGGTACCAGTAGCCGGGGAACCAGGTGTACCCTAGAAAGGAAATCCCTGGTACTCCGACGTACCTCGGGCCATCTACGGCGGGTCGATGACCCCCTCCTGTGTTTGAAGTAGTGGGAACCCCCATGTTCCCTTTTACACCCACGGGATGCATAGGGGTGGTGACACTTCGTATTCTCAATACCGTACTACACGGATATAATAAACTTTACACAGGCAACATTTATTTAAATACTATACATTAATTAATAAGAAGCGAATTACATTTTTATCATTGAAGTCGGTGATACTTTTAAGAGATTTAATAATAAGGTTTAATATTTTATAAAAGCCTTAATTGGATTTTTTTACTTATAATTTATTACTTATTACATTTTATGTCAAAAAAGCATAACGACTCCATTCATATATTTGCCGACAGCGCCTCTACACAAAACTGTAGCTTACTAAAATGATTTATGTGCAGATTCAATAATCGAATGTATTGTTTTAATTATTTACTAAATTATAATGTTTTTCCTTTAAGAACTAAAATTCATTAGTCATTAAAGATTTGCCATCTAGTTGGGAATAGCATGAAACTCCTCACTTGCGCCTAGTCACCACAAGAGGCGCTGCGCTACGGCGTCTATCCGCGTCATACAGTAAGTGGCGCTAGTGTCAAACAGAGAAACGCCAATGATTTGGTTTGGTTCGTTTGTGGATAGATGTGTATTTGAAGAGGTTATGGAGTGAAATTTAATTTCGTGTGTAGTGTGTTGTCATAAATTTTGTTAAACATGGAAACAAGAAAAGATAATTTAACAGCTTTGAAACTTTGTCGGTTTTGTTTATCTCAAGATGAAACACTTACTAGTTTATATGACAGAAATCGAGCGCCAAAAAATTCGGTTCCTCTTCCACTAAAAATATTATCCTGCGTTTCAATTGAGGTAATTATGTGATAACTTTTTTTTATAATAATGTCATGTCTTTCAAAATTCTATATTTACATCGAAGCTTGAAAATCAAATAGCATTTGTGTACGTATAGCATAATGGCGCCGAATATGCATTGAACAATAAATGTTTGTTTATCACTGTTTACCAAAAATATGTAGTGATATGAATATGTTGTTGAGTACTCAGAAAATAATGTATGTCAGAACAAAATTTGGAACCCATCATATACATGGTTTAAGAGTTTAAAATATTCTTGACAATTTTTTTCTTGGAAGCGCCACCTGCGGGCCCATTGGAAAGCTGAGCAAAATTTCAGAAATATACAATTAAGTTTATCTGCTTTTCTTTTTCTCAGGTATTCCCTTCGGATAGAATGCCATCATATATCTGCAATCGCTGCAAATTTTTTATGGACATCAGTTATGAATATAAGCAAATGTGTAGACAGGCTGATGAAAATGTCCTACAATACATTCAGAGTGGAACAGATTTGAATTCTGTATCCTGGCCATCTTCCCTTCAAAAGGTAACTAGCAATTTTAATAACAAAACCTACCCTTACAATCTTTATGATCAATACCATATAAACAAATTGTTTATTTAAATTAACATAAAGTTAATTCAATAACTTTTATTCTAGCTCCATTGAATAGTGACTGGTCCGATTATTACTTAAGGAATGCTTACAACACTATCTGTCTTTAGTAGAGTATGATTCCAACCCAGGACAAATAATTGTGTAATGAGAATTATCATTTGTTCTGTGTCTGGGTGTAATTTATCTATGATTTTATATATTTAGAAATAAATAAGTCAGTTTATCAGCAGTCTGGTTTACCAGCTCTACCTAGTTTGGGATCAGACGGCTGTGTGTGAGATATGTGAGGTTAATATCATAGTTGATATATAAAACATTAAGTAAGTCATTCAAATACTTATACTTAAATAAGTAATTTAACAACACTTACAGCTGTTTCGTGTAGCAACAAAGTCTGCACCGGAGCTGGCTGTAATGAAGACTGTTGTAGAGGGTGGAGCCACTGTTCAAGTCACTGCCAATGGATCTGATAGTGAAGAGGAAGATGATGAAAATGTTTACAATGTTAAGGTGAATATTATTTCTGAAGTGTACATATATAAAAAAAAATGTTTATTGTATTGTATTTTTGTACCCCTAAGTGGTATTTTTTATTATTATAATTGAAAAACTTTTGATATTACTATATTCTGCTTGTTAAAGTTAAAGAAAATTGGTGGATTTAGTATGAAATTCAAATAAAAAACATCAAAATTCCTTTATTTGAAATTAATTAATTTATATTAAATGAAACATTATACAGATAAACCATGAAGGCTATTTTTCATGTCATTACATTGCCTTGTACAATCAATGCATAATTACATTTACAACTATGGCAACTAATACACAGACACAAACAGGTAGTTGGTATACCATATTACAGAAACTCGCAAGTTATTTCACTGTGAGAAAATAATATTTATCTTTAGAGTGGTTTGTATTAATATACGGGCAATCATATTTCATGTTACTAGAACATAGAAAATAACTAAAACTAAATTAAACAACTAAAAAAAAATAACATAGAATATAGAAAATAATTTGTATGAATATATTTTACCCTGCTATCACTCAATACATGTCAATTCTTATCCATAATAGAGGTCTTTGTTGGACCTAGTATACTGGATAGTGAACCCATCCACTATTACTTTTTTCAATCTTCTTCATTGCAGCAACTAAAGGAACCAAAGCCTGCCCCTTTATCAGCAAGGCTGATAAAGGCTATATCTACTTCTCCAAGAAGTATCTAAGACAATAGACCTTTACCAATAGAATTTTTCTTTCTTTTCTGTTTTTTTAAACAAACAACAAATTGCATTTTCGTTACAATTTATCACACTTTTATACATTCTTCATTCATTCTAAAATTGAGAATGTACTTAGAGAAGGAGAGGATTCAAAGGTTTTTAAAATGTGGTGTAGTCCAATTTTGTAGATCGGGGTTAAACTTAAGTTTATAACTTTTAACAGATTGGTGATGGATCCGATGAAGGGCCAAAAAATGCTCGCGTCAAAGTGATTACAGGCAACAAACAAAATAAAGGGAAGCCAAAACCAGGCAAAGGTAATAAAGCTAAAGTGCTAGTAGTTGATACTTGTGAGTTTTTTGTTTTAGAATATAAGATTTTTTTTTTATTGAATTTGCGTATGTTCATAGCTTCATATATTTTTAATGTTTATTTTTATGCATGGTTTTGCAAATTTAAATAGTTTAGATGTATGTCACTATTCATAATATACAGATTGTGTGTCATTTTACAGGTCGAATTTCATTTAAGTCTGTTAATGATTTCTATTATTAACATAGATTGCCCCTTGTCAGGACTTTTCATAACTGAGTATCAACTAACGTAAAAGTCGAGACGTACCCACGTACGGTGTCAAATATTAAAGCGCGCATGTACGTCTTTCGTCTATTAGAAGATACATTGATTTGTCCTTAAATTAAAGCTGCTCGACTGACACATAGATGTCAATCCAACTTTTCCTCGGATTCTCGCTTTGTTACTTTCTTTATTTATTAACCATAAGTTATCCTATATATCAGTTATAATTCTAATTTAAGATCCTGTACAAGCGCATTCTGTCTTAGCAATAGACTTGTGCAAAAAGTGATATTCATCTTTCTCATTGGCAATTTAAATAATAATAATTAAGAGTGAGAAATATATTTGTGCAGATACAAATGAAATCGAAGTGAATATATTGCTAGTGAGTGTTTTCCAACAGTGACTGATTATTTCGTGTTAGTACTGGTAAGAATTGATAATGCAGTAGAACATTGATATTGACTTGATAAATGTTGTATTTCAGAAGCATGTGTCCTATGATTAATCCAAATGTTAATAATTTAATTTTATCACTGATATATATTTTTATAAAGAAATGTGCTCAAATGGCTATAATATTCTTAACATGTACAATTGGTACTTTCAAACTAGATTTCGCTACTTATTACAGTGTAATAAAGTAGATATCATATTAAAAGATTTAGCAGTTTAAGCAATGTGTACCTTGAAGTTTAACTATAGTGCTGAGTAGTTGAAGTGCCTTATGGTGCAGATATGGACGATGCAGGTGACAACAGGCCACATCACACTATTGGTACATCTCATGAACATCCATCCAGAAACCTGTGGGAACTGAAAAATCTAAGCCCAAATCCCATTGACGAGATACCAATAGAATTACGGGATGGTAGGTGGCCATGTGACGAGTGCGACTGTTCATATCCTCTACAGCAACTATTAAACTTGCATAAAATGCACAAGCATAGACAAAGGAATGTTCAGTGCAATCAATGCGATGCGTAAGTTATTTCAGTTTTTTTTCTTAGCAATGATGTAATTAATAATCCAACAAGAATGCCACTTTAAAAAGTTATAAGTCAAAATAAAATTCTACTGCCCGGATGGCGTAAATGGTTTAAGCAGACACACCGCCCGCTGGTTCCTACTAAGGGTTTGCGTCCACCGTTCAATATGTTTATCTGAACGAAATGCAGATTAATTTCTGTGCATTGGATCTGATCCAGTAGACTTCACGAAGAATTGTTCTTGAGTCGTCGCCAAGCGCGATGCCAGACTCTGTGAAAGCGTGCATTAGACATAGAACCATAAACGTGCCGGCATGTTATATGGCCAAGTTTCGGTTTAATCTCATTATAATTGAAGATGTTGGTTAATGCAGTCAGTTTGACTTGCCTATATTAAGGCGGTGACTGTTACGTGTCCAACCAATATGAGCATCTACGGGTTTTTAAAACTTGATGTACCTATTCCTAACTGCTTCATTCTCAGTCACATGACAAACTGCCTGTATTAGGTTTAATAACAAGGATCTTATTTTTACAATTAATTAAATACAGATTTCATTATATACAAGAATTACAGGCGTATGTTCTGTTTGAGTGATAAAGACAAAGACTGACTGAGGATTTGATTACGATTATTTTGTATTATTTCAGTAAATTCTTTAATAATTATGATTTAGCCACACATCAATTGCGACACTCTACTGACGAGTTGATATTCGAATGTGTGGCTTGTGGTAAAAAGTTTAAGCGCCTTATTCTTCTCAAGAGACATGAAAAGGTAAATTAAACTATTAATACAATAGGAAATTTCGTGCTATATTTGTATTTCTGCTTTCATTTTAAAGAGTTATGTATGTGTTTAGTTTTTTTTTATTTCTCTTACAATGTTGTCCTAGATAGAAAAAAAAATGCTTCTTAGGTCACAGATATAAAAAAAGATTACCAAAGTAAATTGTAGTTCCCATGACGTCACCCTTGTTTCTTACTAGCCGTGATTCATCGTTTCGTTGGTTCTAATAGTTTTAAATGAAGTACAATAATCTTTTTTAAACGAAGTAATCTGTACTGATACTATTAAACTTTTGCGTTATATGATACATAAATATTAGTTCAAGAAAGTACCTAGAGTTGAAGCGTCAGTACCTTATGATCGCGTTAATTCTCTAACTGAAAATTGTATACCATAGACTCCTCCTAGATATTACACATCAACATCATCATATATAAGCCATAACGCTAGTTTGGCGCTAACCTGTTTGTTTGTTAGGATAAAGAGCCTGTTATAAATATAAAAATATTTCATTGAAAACTTCATTTTTTTGTAGAATGCATTAGTTTCGCAATCCGAAAATGTTAATTTCACGAATATAACTTTGTTGATGTAACCGAAATGACGTCTTTTGTGACTGATTGGTGTTTTAAAATACGTTCTTTAAAAATCAATATTGACTAAAACAAAATGGAAAATGTCGCGTGACGCTTCCGTTATAGTTTTGCAAATTTTAATAAAACAAACAATACAATCATGTTTTATTTTTAGCATTTTTTATTTTTTAGTAAAGTATAGTAGTAGTACTATAATGCATGATTAACAAATGTATTATACGAAGACGACCTCCCAATCCCTGTAAACCTTTCAGTTAATACATGCAGATTTAGCACAGCTTGCGTGTCCCTCCTGTCCAGCTACGTTCTTATCGCAAGAAGAACTAGATGCTCATAATGCAAATAAACACACTATCTTTAAGGAAAGAAGATTTCGCTGCGACGCATGTGACAAAAGGTTTGACACACCATAAAATAATAGTTTGTTGTTCCATATACTTATGATAAGTTAATTAGGCAGTCAGTACTCGTGTTTTCAACTTATATCTCAGATTTTTTTTTCGACAAGTTAGAGTTGTTGTCGTATGTACATACTTACTGCATATGCTTTCAGTATTTTCCACATATTTTAACAACGTTTATGAAATTATTGTTTAAAGTTAATTTAAACATGGGGTAATGTAGGTAATTGAGTAGAACAGTCAGCCACTTATCATCATGTCACTTACATAAAGTACCAGGATCTTTAAACATGGCCACACCTTTTTGGAACATTCTGTATATAACAGTTACATATCTATGTGATGGCTAGCTACCTTCGTCTGCGTCTTTCAAATTGAATAAATTAGTGGGATGTTATATAGCATATAGCCTTCCTCGGTGAATGGGCTATCTAACACTAAAAGGATTCTTCAATTTGTACATGTAGTTCATGATAATTAACGCGTTTAACCAAACAAACTCCTCAGTTTTATAATATTAGTTCAGATTCGTATAGATTTATCCATACGGGATATATATTCCATAATAAATATTTAAATAAATATATATAATAAGTTAATAAATAAAAAGAAACCAAAGCGTATTATACATAACGTGATAATATTTAAATACTACACTCAGGTGCAATGAATGCGAGTCGATAACAATTTTGCAAATATCTCCAGAAATTTAAAAGCTGATGTAATGAAATAAAGTTATCAAGACAAATAATTAGTGCTTAAATAAATTGATTTAAGAGTTAACGTTATATAATGCATCAAAAACGGCATAAAATACAAAACAAAAATGTGTTAATTCAGACAAACATAAATTACAAATAAGCAATTTTGTACAAAGAATTAGGCTAAATCTTTGTTAATTTACTTCTCAGTATTTGGTATTATTTCCGCGTGTTGTGAACTGTGAAACACGTTACTAAGTCGATGTTGGGTTCTTCCACTCGTATATCAGAGCAGATTTAAGCTCAGCAAGTGTGATGGGTGGCGAGTTTTTTAGCCTGACACACCGTACGAGTTCATCAAAAGCATACTCGATAGAGTTGGAGCTAGGCCTACGTGTTGGCCACTCCATACATCTTATGCCGTGTATTTACATTACGTGCTGTATTTATGAAAGAAAGGCATTGTCATGCCTTTCTTTCATAAATATGGCCTTCTCATCTATATTGACCATAAAAGTATCGACATGTTCTGTCTTGCAATACATGATCTCTCCCATTTTGAAACATTTGCAGTTCATTTTGAGATTAAACCAACTCCAGTAAGACGTATTCCTACAATCCATTCGCTCATGTTATTTCCTCCAAGACGAATAAACAGATTTTTCAGCACAACATCGAAATCAATTACGGAGATATCGGTCCTCACGCGCTGGCGTACACCTGGTCTGTTCGTGGTCTGAGCAGGTTAGATCCAGTTTCTAAGAAACTTTAAACTTTGAAAAAACTCGTTGTGCAGTTGAGAAAGAGACACCGATGCTTCTTGCGGTATATTCCAGCTCCGTCTTCCAGCATTGTGTGTGTGAATATTCTATACCTGGAATCCCTTTTACATCATTATTTGTGACAGATTGGAAACCAAAATCATGAAAAGCCTAGTTTCAATTTTAAAATATTTTATTGTTTTTATTTATTTAATTTCTTAAATTGCTAGTACTATAATGTATGATTAACTAACGTATTTATACAAAGACTACCTCCCAATCTACATAGATTAAATTTATCATCATCATCAGCCTATCGCAGTGCACTGCTGGACATAGGCCTCTCCCATTGCACGCCACTTAGATCGATTTTGGGCTTCTCACATCCAGCTCCTGCCAGCCATCTTGCGCAAATCGCCACTCCACCTGGTCTGTGGGCGGTCTCCACTCAAGAACTCGTTTTCCCCAACGGTTTTCGGTTCTACGGCTAATATGGCCAGCCCACTGCTACTTCAACTTGCTGATCCGGTAGGCTATGTCGGTTACCTTGGTTGTCTGCCGGATCACCTCATTCCACGTAAGTGTCCACGTTTCGACTCCGTATGTCATGACGGGTAGGACGCGCTCAATGAAGACTTTCGTCTTAAGGCACTGGGATCGATGATGAGAAGACTCGACGTAGCTTCCCAAACGCTGCCCAACCCAACTGAATTCTTCTGTTCACCTCGTACTGCAATATCTGCCCGAGGTACACAGGATTAAATTTATGTACATATATTAATTTATTTTATTTAATATTATAATTAACTATAGTTTGCAGTTTCGGAGATATTTGTAACCGACCCAGATTCATTGCACGTGAGCGTATAATTGCCATTTTCATATGTACATTTTACAGATTTATTAAAAAATCAACGCTCCGAAGGCACAAGGCCAATGTTCACGATAAAGAGGCAGCCTTCGCTTGCCTATACTGCCCAGCGCGTGAGTCAACACCAAAATTCATCACCATACATATACTTCAACATTAAATTATTAGATTTAGAAATGAGCTATGAACATGCGTAAGATCAACTTGTATTTCATTCGTTTATTATTTTAAGAGAATTCCAATTTGTACAGAAATTGGTAATACAAGTTCGAAATTTCCGCAAATTAACCTTAGTCGAATATTTTTTTAAGGACTATTGGTAAAAGTAATATTCGAATGAAATGAGATTTAATTATATTTTCATTGCTTTCATAAATTTAAATATAAGAATTATACAATGTTTTTATAGGTTTTTTATCAGTATCGAAACTGACGAGCCACGTTCGTGGTCATGCGGGGGATAGGTCCTACCCATGCAAATACTGTAACAAGAGTTTTATGAAATCTCACCATTACACCAGGTAAGCAAATCATTGAAATATCTATAAAAGAAGCGACGTATACCTACTCAGTACAATAATACAATTGACTCACTCATTTACTACTTTTACCTTAAACATTTAGGTAGGTGTTAAATACCAAGAAAGTTAATGTAAAAAATACATAAATCTACCAAAACCCATTCAGAAATAGTCAATAAATACGTGCTCATAACTCGGACCGGTCCTTTACAGTTCTTAATTTAGATACTTGCCTTATTTGTATAACTTGCCCGAAATTATATTCATAACTTAATAGTTTTAATTATTCATGGTGCACAGACAAACGACATTTGTTGCACATTATGGTAAGTGACTAAAGTTACTACCGCCGTCCAGGACACCTACAGATCAGGAGTCACAAGTAAGTTGCCGCTCTTTGAGTTCCCCCTTACTAAAATTAAAGTCTAAATGTCGCAGCCCGACTTCCACGACATTTACCTAAATTAAATTAAAAATACTATTGTTGTAAGTTTATAAACATGGATTATTTTTGATATTGTAATCAATACTTCAGTTTTAAGCAGTTTATCAGGATGTTACAATAAAAATAATGTATGTATGTGTTTTGGTTACAGACACCTTCGCATTAAACATCGTGAAGCTATAAGCACTTGCCGAGGACCCTTCGGCGAGTCCCCAGATCAGTATCGTTGCGAACAGTGTGACGATACCTTTTCAACTCAAGATGAGCTCATATATCACTCGGCTATACACGCAACTCAGAACCTTATCTGTCCACTTTGCCAGGAGAAATTCGAGGACGTTGATGCAGTTACCGTCCATATCAAGTCCCACGTAAATGGTATGTGGGCACTGCATGGTTTTTTGTGTGCATTTTTGGTATTATAGCGTTGTGTATACTTTTGTAATGCATAAATGTGATCGAAGTAGTGTATAATTATATTTGTATTGTGAATGAAAGTATACTTGACCTATCAGTCTATCTTTGCATAAAGATATTTATTATGCGCTTACTCAGAAATACTTAAATGTTATTGCATGAAATTTTTAGCTTAAAATAGACTAAAACCTTTAAGCAATTTCCGTTTGTGACTTTATATATATTGACGAACCAACTCGCATAAACTTTGTTAATTTAAAACATCACAGTTAAACTTCCATAAAAGTTTTTTTTGCATTTACGTAAAATTATTTTACAATGCGGGCACATATTATAATCACTTTAATACTTTTTTAAATAAGGTCATGTTCCTTAACGTTATTTGTGTAAGGCAAAATTTCTGGGCTATTCCTTAACGTTATTTATATAAGGCAGTCAATACATGACATACGCTCACGTATGATACCATGAACCAAACACTAGCAATTAGATCGCAAAATTGAGAGTGAATTGAAATAAAGGAAGGTAAAGTCACAGGTCTCTAACAGTAAAACGCCATCCAATGTCGTCACAAAAGTTATATTATTGTCCAACAGGTACAGAGTTCATGTGTGACCTATGTGAACTGGTATTCACCTCGAAAGAAAAGCTGGACAATCACATCACTATCGCGCATGAAGACGAACTACGTAGTGAGGTATGTTTTTGTTTGAACTATTGTACGTCTTTAACATGCATAGGTATGTCAGAATACTGGCCTCGTTGCTGCTGTTAACATTATGATGGTTGAGAAAGAGAAGTTTTTAACAGACTTCAAAAAAAAGAAGAGGTTATCAATTGGGATGTTTATATATTTTTTTGTGTATTTTCATAATTCTTTTTTTATTCGAAAGGGGTTTATACCGAAAGGGTCCCATTCAAATTTCATATAGATCTCATTATGAGTTTTTGAGACAGACAACGAAACTCTTCAAAAAATGACAGCAAATCAACCCTTTTCCTCTGATTTCTGCTAGGTTTCCTCTGTTTAAAAAGGATTTATCACAACTAATTCTCGAGTTATTACACAATACTTTGTTTATTAAACGTCATATATACGCCCGAACTGTAAACGGTCCGGCATCCGAGCTAGAATGCCACCCACCGCCTACCGACAGCCGTATTTATACGAGTATCACACATGCTCGAATGTTTTTAGCTTGAATAACAAGTCTTAAGTAAGTATTGAAACATTGTAATTTACAATGGTTTCTAGTAAAGAGGGATGCTACAACATTAACAGAACTATCAAACCCAAGCAACAAATTACTGTTGTCGCGCCGACATAATATACTTTTAAGAGGTACTAATTTACTTTATGATATAAGTCGTCGATCTCTTTGCATATTATCGGAATCGAAAAACAGAGAAATCGAAAAATAATAAACCGTTTTCTCCAAAAAGGGTTATTTGGAGAACGTTTTTTTTTTAAATCATTGAGAAGAATTAATGACCTTAATTGTACAGACATACCATGGAAACACGTGCAGGCAAATGAACGGCCACGAACAAATGTCTTTATATACTTTTTTACCTAAACTGAAAAATAAAGTCTTTATTCAATCCATGGCCATCATGATTAAACGAATGCAATTTTCGTATCATATTAATTACTTTTCCATAGGGAACGGGCCAGGATGAATCTTCAGTTGAAATGGATGTAGAAGACGATGAAGATGAAGCCACTATTAATTGTAAGCAATATTCTTTTAACTTAATTTCCTAATCAACAATAATTTGGTTTAAATCCATCGTAAGTATTTCAATATGAACCTTATCACTTGACATATTTGAAATAATTTAATATATTTTATAAGCTAGTGTACCTCGACTACATTTTTCAAAGAAATTATACAAGGCTTCAGCCAAAGGGAAGGTGCTTAGGCTAGAAATTATAACATTTTGACGTAGTATTTGCAAAGACCTAACTTGTTGGATACTGAACACGTTCTCGTTCACGTCACGAAGACTTGTACTATAGTACTACGTACGTAGTATAGACTTGAACAATATCTCACAAAACTTTCGCAACTACTGGTGTGCAATGGGCAAAACTTCTAATTTAACACATTTTGTAAAAAATAATTTCAGTAAAAGAAGAAGATGACCACATGGTTGTAGAAATAAAGAAGCCTGATGATTTTATGGTAAATACCCGACTTCATTACATCGTAAACCATATTTGCAGTATGAAAGAAATAGTAATTATTCTTATTTTACAGCTCACAACTTCACAAAGTGAAGAATTGGGGGCTGAACACAGTAATTCTGAAGGTAAAATATAATTCTATTGACACTATACCCAAAAATATTTTTAAATAATAGTTAAACATAAACAGTAAGAAGCCACAATATGCTACAAATTAATTTTAGTATAAGTTATTATTCTATATTAATATAACGAACACACTTGATTTTTTTTATCTCGAAGAAACTACGGATTCTATTTAAAAAAAACATTATTTATATTGCCATGTTAATATAAACCAGCGCGCCAGTCTTCAAACAGTAGACGGTAATTATAAATCATATGTCTCCCTTTTCAGAGAGTGATTCAGAAATAACTTTTACTAATTTAGCGACTGTGGACACATTAGCCATGACCAGGAAAGAAGCGGCAAATGCGGTTTCCGAAAAACCTGTGTTCACTTCCACAGCTGATTCTGGTATTATTAAAACTATAGTTACTGCTCCTAAGAATACAGAGAAAACTAGTTTGCAGGTAATTATCTTCCACTGATAGTACCCATTTATACACCAACATGCAATGCAACCACTGAAAATGGTACTAAAGTGCCTAAAAAGTCGGGTTTAAAAAACATGCAGTTTACTAAAAATGTAAATAAATCCATTACAGACCGCTCCAATATTGCGGAGAGCAGAAGAGATTAAACGTAAAGTACAGTCTTCAATAGATGCGGCCCCAGAAAAAAGGAATACAAAAACAGAGAGTAACAATACTGGCGCTAGCGACAAGTCGTTACGCTTATTGGAGAAGGAGTTGCAAGAGTTAAAGAGAGTAAGACCATTCTTATGAATAGTAATAATCTTGTTTTAATGGAAAATAAAAGTAATACGTATTTTGGCCTATAAAGGTGGGACATAAAAAGTAATGCTTTTATAGGCACAAGTAAAAATAAAATATCTATTTTAATGCAAAGCCACACTATGATAACTCTGTCACGGATGATTTCAGACTAATACGCGCACTGAAACAGTGAAAACATCTGCAAAATCTATAGAAACCTTACGAAACAGGCGGCCCCAGATACACACATCCACTCCTAAGTTAAAGTAAGTAAACTAACGAAAGAAACTAATGCAATGTACAAGTTTGCTATAAATAAATACATGTATCGGTAGACGGCTCACCTGATGTTAAGTGAGTACCGCCGCCCATGGAAACTTGATACTCAATTATATTATTAGATTGATTGATTTAAAATAAATAATAAAAATGTTTATTTCATCTCCTCAAACAACAAACATAGAGTCGACAAGAAATTAGTGATTTGTAATAGATCTAGAGTCTTAGCTAAGCCAAGACCTGTACTAAACCTTATATATATTTATGAGTGCTAATTTATTTATTTAAACCACGTATACGCCACAGAACGTCTGCAGTGGAGGAAAAGAAAACTCAAATAGCAACAAAAACACCGGCTTTAGAAAAAAAACAACCTGAGAGGCGCATTGTCACCAAAGAAAATAAAGAGCCCAAAGAAGTAAAAGATACGAAAGGAAACAATGTTAGTGCAAAAGATGAAAAAGATAATAAAGAAAAGGAGAAAGATACACCGAAGGTAAATATAGAAAATTATTTTCTACTTTTATTATTATTATTTATTCGTACCAAATGTTGGTATGATCTGCAAATATTTGTTTCGGAGTTTAGGTGTTTTCTACATATAATTTGCATGCCAAAATAACAAAAAAAATATATAAGTATTCTATAACTCAATCTAACTTTTATAGTACTAGCTCGCCTTAGTTTTGTAACTAGAAGGCGTTGTGTGTCAGATGAACAATCGTTCAAGATAGTATATTTATTTAACGATTCATCATTTACGATAAGCAATTTTTTTTTTAAATTTATTTATCAAATAAAATACAAAAGAATATATAATTCGTAAAATAGCATTTTTAAACAAGATTTGTAGTGAATGCTAGAAGTGGTCTACAGTCATATTATACTAACAACTTTTTTATTATTTGCACATTTCGTGTCTTACAAATATATCGATAATCTGCGAACTTGCGTAACGTAATATAATTAATTAAATACTTGCTGAAATAATGATAACATGCTATCATATTTCAGAATATTGCCAAAAACGGGCCCAATGAAAAAAGCACTGGAGAAGAAGGCATTCGCCGTTCAACGAGGCCCTCCAAGATCAAGGATTATGCAAAAATGATTCGTGACAGGTAGGTACCAAGAATCGACAAATTCCCATTGACTGGTCACAACACGTGAGCATGTCAGGTCGTTAATGGACATTTAAAATACCAAAAACGATAATTAATCTCTTAATTAAGAAAGGCTCTCGGATTTGTTTGAGCAGATTTTTTTTACAATGGCAAGTGACTTGGCCTTTGTGTGTTCTCTAATCTGAAATCAGGATACTGTCAACCATGTTTATACAGATTGATACATATTTTTTTTAATATTAAATACATCATTAGTAAATAACACTAGCAGTTGAAAATATACTATAATATGCAATGTATAATTTATGTTCTTTTTTTATATTGACGTAGATCGCAAGATAGTGAAGATGACGATGATTCAGACGAGGTTGATGAAGAATATAAAGAGACTGAAAAGATTATAGAGGTAAGCAGAAACGACGAACTGCAGTGAATTTTCAAGAGTATTATAGCAGACTTTCACAAACCAACTCAGACGTTGCGCTCATGCAGTCTTATCTTTACAGACATCTGCCATCCTTCAAACATCATCCTTTGCTCTCCAAATATCTGGTTTCTTTTAAAAAACACCTATGTTAAGTTATTTGCATGACAATTGTTTAAAGTGTGTAAAATAGTGTCGAAAAACAATGAAATTTTCTTTATTCGAAGCGTAAGTAACAAATGCGTTGCTTTCATGAAATGATGTATCTGAGTTTAATTACTTTAAAAAAAATGCAACTGGGAACTCAACATCTCCATTTTCTTTCTTTCCATTTTCTTAATTAATTATAATTAACTGCAGGTGATAGAAATTCGACCATAATCAACACTAAATACTTTAGTACCATTTTCTCCTATAACTTTCAGCTAGCAGTAAAAAAGTGAATCAGATTTTTTAACCAACTTCTAATTTGAAAGGGTACTTCGGATAAAGTTAATTATTGTCGAATAGCAACCACCGGGCGATATCGAGTTTATTACATATGTTAAAAATAACATAAATCTACTCATTTCTAGAACAACATCCGTATCGTGACGATTTTAGTTACATAATGAAATTATATATACCCATTTGCACACATTATATTGATACATTTTATATTGTATTTCTCAGAAACCCAAAGCCCGTAGGGGCAGCATAAAATCGTCGGCGAAGCCGGTGCTGGCGGCCGCCGCCTCGCCAGCAGCGACACCCGTAGCCCGAAAGCGCGGCCGCCCCAGGAAGATCAACACACCTGCCACGTAAGTGTAACTGTACATGTATTTATATTTGAAAATCAAAGTCACATCACTTGCTTCCACCTGTAAACTGAGTCAATTTCTCAGCTTTTTCAAAAGGTTAAAAAATTCAAAACATTGAATATAAATAATATACTTAGGTAACTTTAAAATATAAAGTAAAAAATTATCGTGAGGCGTATTTATTTGTTGTTAGTTTGTCACTTAAATTATAATATTTGTCGCTGTACTTGAGTTTTACTTCTAGACCGGCTAAAGTAAGGAAAGAAGACAATAACTCAGAAGAAGTTAAATCTGATGACGCTGATAAAGAAAGTGAAAACGAAATTAAGCCTAAAGGAAACGCGCCGCCTTCTGGCAAAGCCAATGAAAAAGTGGAAATTGTAAGTCCAATTCGAGTATAATACATTATAAGTATATAGCTGTAGTGACCTGCAATAAAAACATCTTTCTCTTATGCTCTAATTTATTAGCAAAAAAGAATAAAAGAATTACAAATACTTAAAGGAAATACAATTTAAAATAGTATAATCTATAATATGAAAATGATATATTAAAGTAATGTGTTACAGGAGAAAGATAATAAATTGGTCGATGAAGTTAAATCTGCCCCTGGAGTATTGGTGTCGCCTACAGGACAGACACTGAAAAAGGTATTATTATTATTGCGAGATTCCAGATTTTTACTACAAAGCGCATTTTAATTACTAGATACCCCAAGCATTTCCCTATTTCTGAAAATTTACACTTAGCCTAGTAAATACTATTCACCATTTCCTTTACAGATACCAATAAAAGCGCTGCCTCCTGGAATAAAACCGCTGCCTTTACCAGTCAATGCAAGACGTTAGTAACAAATCGCATTTTAATCAGTTTCGTTGTAATAATTCGCCCAAATAATAATTTGGACTCTTGGCTGTTTGCATTCTTTATGCATAGACTGCAGTCGAATGTGAAATGAAACTAGTACTCATATAGCAAACACATAATTATTCCATATTTTTATAATTATTTCCAGTTTACAATAATAGTTTACAATATACTATTAAAGTGTATATTATTCATATTAAAATGTGACTGTCAATAATTTGTTTTAAAATAATTATAAAAATAAGTTAAATTAATATACATAGATTTAAGTATACCATACATCTTTTAACGTAATTTAAATTTCATTAGCGCTGTCTGGTGGTGAAGTGTGCGAAATGCAGATTGGCAAGAAAGTAGTAAAAGTACAGAAAATCGTCATGACTAAAGCTGAAGTGGAAGCAATGGCTAAAAAGGGACTCGTAGAAATGAAGGTGAATATTATAACAACATCTCATAAACATTCTAACATGGATTGCTGTATCAGATTAACGTTCACACCTCAGAAGAAGTGTATTAAACCTAAGTTATGTATCAGAGCAGGCACAATATCTAGTAATAGGGATCACTATTAAAATAATTTGATGTAGGTACAAACTTACAATTTTTTTTCTGAATAATTGAAAATAAAACTAGATTTCGCAAGAGATTAAGTCAAAATGTATTTAAAAAAAATTGATTACAAAAAATGAGTGTTTTCATTAAGTGACTTAAAAACAAGAAATAGTAATAACATTTATGTTTCAGGACGGCACAATGGTATTGAAACAAGGTATAAAGCTCCCCACTTCAGATCCATCAGCTATAAAAAATCTAGTCGGAGATGGTTAGTATAATATTGTTATTTATTTTATTCATGTTGCAAAAGAACAAGTTAGTATGATATTGAGCTGAAACTGACTACAGCATGGTCTTCAAGAAAAAACACTTGAAAGGCTCGATTTACTACCTTAATGTGTTCTATCTACATTGGAGTTTACATACATATTTCTTATCAGTAGACAATTTCAATCAACTTAATAACTTGTATTTCAGAATCAGCAACGAAAGAATCTCCTATTAAATCAGATAAGGCTACGCCTACACGATGTAACATGGACGAAGAAACATAGTCTTAGTTTATTCTAAGTAGAAACCAACCAGGATGCAATGCCGACATTTCTCTATTTTGGTACATAGATTTTAGGCAGTTAGTAAATTAACGTATCAACTACGCCTATTATACATTAAAATAATCACTGATTCGTATTATTCATTAGAAATGCTGGTTCAGACGCCTGTTTTTATATAAATAAAGCATTAAAATTATAAACCCTATTATATTTTATAATGTAATTCGTCTATTAATAATATTACAACTTGTACAACATTTAAAAGTAACATATATACACAATAATGTAGTAGATCAGTTCATCTGGTGTTATAAAAGATCTATATTATGTTTACATTATGTACTTGTCTTTTTTACAACAATTATTGTCATTTATTTCTAATCTTATGAAGTATGACCTAGAACATGATTGAATGAAACGTTCAACACAATCCATCTAGCTAATAAGAAAATAAAATAGATGAACTATGGTTTCGCTTTTTATTTATTATCTTAGACAAAGTCAAATGCTACAAATTATAATAATACTGTTGTAAGGAAATCCAAGTCTTCAGAATCTTAGTATTTTTTTACTCGTCAATAGATGGCGTTAATCATCTCTGAAATCTGCAAATAAATAGGTAGATGTCGCTAGCATGAATAAATTTTGCCGCCCTTTCTTTGAAGCGCGCCTAGGCGGCGGGTTCAAAACATTTTATTCAAACGACATCACAAAAGCGTGCCAGGCGGTTGCGGCAAACTAAATATAATTGAAGTTACGGACTTAATATTTAGTAAATATTTTATTACAACGCATTGAAAATTATAATTGAAATAAATTCAGAAAAGTGTAGTGACTACCTACGTGAACATCGCGAGTTTCGTTCAACTGCAAATAATTTGGCACAGGAGTAAGTCGTCTTAACTACGTAAGTATTATATTTTTGCAAATATAACTACATACTCAAGATAGAATTAGAAATAGTACAAAGCAAAAAACAAAGCCTTTTCGTTCAATTTGGGCATCGGGAAAAAATATTAAAGTTGTCAAAGGATAGAGAATGTAATATTAATTCTAGATCATTAGAAAATATTTTTGGTAGAAATTAATTTTATTAAACAACGACGTACAACATATACAGTCCAATTACATTCTAGCCCTATTAGGGTCATCGGGATCGGAGTAGTTTCACGTAACACTTCATCATTTTCACAATTGATAAATTGGATAAGATAAGATATCAGTTCTAAACGTTGCGGTACCATGACGATTGTTTATTTTGTTTACAAAACACTTGCATTACTAGAATAACTCATAGAACACGTAACGTCAATTATTTCAGTAAAAAATATTACGCCTTATTAAGAGACATTATGGTAAAGGCTTATTTATTAACTTTCCTATTCTTGCATTGTTTGTTAAGTACCTATTTCCATTACTCTCGCTTTGTGTCAATTTACTTGTTTACAGTCTCTATGGAAATCTACCTGATTTTAAAATTAGAACCTTAGAAAACTATAAACCCATTGTTTAGTCTATCTACTTACTTATATTTTAAGCAAGACGTAGTTATGTTTATTTGCAATCTTAGTAAGTTCGTAGTTAGTTTAAAGAAAAATAAATACCCAGAAGCCCGTGACGTACTTTTGGCGTCAACAAGGCACGTCTTGCCCTGCAGACGCCAATGTATCACGGAAAATTATCTATTATAATGAGAATAAAAATTATTGGTGTGTGTAAACAGGAATACCTAGACCTAAAATTTGAGTGGAACACAGTTTTTAACTGCCTTCAGGCGTATATCTGAAGAAATAATTTTAAATGTAGGTATTGTTATTGAAGTCAATAAACTGATCACGATTTATGTAATGTTATGATCGAATCAGAAATGAAGAGATCCGCCGACGAACCAAGGTCACCGACATTGCCCGGAGAATTGCCAAACTTAAGTGGCAGTGGGCGGAGTACATTGCTCGCAAAAACGATGGCGGATGGAGCCATAAAGTTCTCGAGTGGCGACCGCGTACTGGGTAAACGCGCAGCGAAAACGTAGCCTGGGTAGACCCCCCACAAGGTGGTCTGACGACCTGGTAAAGGTCGCGGGAGCCGGTGTATGGAGGCAGCAAAAGACCGGTCGCTGAGTCGAACCTTGGGGTGGCTTATATCCAGCAGTGGACGTCTTTCGGCTGAGATCATGATAATTATGATTATGTAGCCCTAATTTGAAGATATCCGAATCGACTACGAACGAATGTTGAAATGAGATAAAAAGATATTTTACATAATGACCACATTTTAACGATAATATAATTTAAATAAAATAAATAGTAAATAAATACACTTACTTAGGACATTCAGAAAGTTTTGAGAAACTAAAAAATCAACTTATATAGATAAAATATATTTATTAAATCACTTCAAAGTACTCTCTACCAGCCTCTATACAGCGTTTTATGCGTCTACCAGTTTTCGAAACGATTTTTCCAGTCTGTCGCAGACACCTCTTCTACGGCCTTTTCGAACGCTGTTAAATCACACGGTGCCAGATCAGAACTGTAAGGAGAACGACACAAAACTGACCGGTGTGGTTTTCAGGAGGTTCCTTCTTTTGAGCTGTGAGTATTCGGTCGCTTGTTGCTCATTGCCGTAAAAGCTTCTGGCAGGCGTTTCTTGAAATACTGTAGTATACATGCTGCTTTGATTTTGTAATGGTATCGACACCAGATACCCCGTCAAAGTAATGATAATAGCGATCAAAAGTTTACCTGCGATTCTCAGTTGCTTCACTTTGGTAGGCGTTGGTTCGTTTTGATACAGCCAAACTGGCTTCTGACGCTTTGTTTCTGAATCGTATTGATAAATCCCGGATTCGTCATCTGTCACAATGTCGTAAACGCGGCGAGACGATCCTGCTTCAAATTTATTAATTATGTCACTGCACCAGTCTACACGGGCCAGCTTATGAGCTTCGGTGAGGCAGAATTTTTCATTGCTGGCACGTTTTCCGCGGTCACAGTAGTTGAAGGACAAGAATTTCTCTTTTCATCCCCCAAAGATAGACGACCGCGCTTGAAATTCTTATGCTAACGGTTAAATGTAGTATATTCTTAAAACGCAGATGCGGTTAGTCCCACTTTTTTTTTTCGTGCAGAAATCCCCTCGGATACCACCTATTGGTGGCATGTCGGACTCGAACCGACTAAAACCGCACGCCGTCTCAGGTACTAATAGCCGGGGAACCAGGTGTACCCTAGAAAGGAAGTCCCTGGTGCCCCGAGGTTAGACCCACTGCATTTTGCCGCTGCGGTACACCGCGCATATATGAAAACGCTTGATGTCAATGCACTGATGTGTGGCCAGCCCAGTTTTGAGCCAACCGCAATAGTAGACTATTGCGGTTGGCTCAAAACAGCGCCGGGTTTGAACGGTGCGATGCGCCGCATCGTTCAAACGCACTCGATGCGCGGGTGGGCTATACGTAAGTGCGGTTTAAGCCTTAGAAGGGCCTTCATCCATAAATGTAATTTGAAGTCGATCAAATGACTCGTCTGGTTTAAGGCCACATTTGAAATCATACAAAATCATCGCACAAAAATGCTCTCGACGCAGATCTATTTTTCAATAAGACACGATAATTCAATTTAGCTCTTAAAAAATGTGGAGGGAAATTTACATTGTAATGTTTACACTGACTGCACGGATGCCGTAGTGGTTTACTTCGCTTCCTACTACGCCGAGTGTTGTGGGTTCAAACCCCACTTGGGAAATCACCCCACATCTGCAAATTGTTGTTCTGAGTCTAGGTGTTCTTTGTGTCCGTTTCATGCATGTTTGTAAAGTTTTCTATAAAAAAATATGTTCCAAATAGATTTTTCTGGGTAAACTTTTCTAAATAAAATGTAAAGATCTATAAGTACCTAGTACCTACACATAGTACACATATAAAATTACGTGTAGATACTAGGTGTATCTGCAAAATCATTTTGAATGAATAAAATAATTTCTTTGATTTGACTTAAGTTACACGTTATGTAGTTTCATGATGATGACATAGTTAACATGTTACACATTTTTCCTTTACAAACTATGTCGTTTAGTACCGCATTCGTTGACATTGAGACATGAAAATCGTAAGTAAAATATACAGTGCAAACATTTTCAGTTGTCATGTAAGTGTTACGTTGGTACTGTGACGAAAACTTGCTAAACGATTAGACATGCCCTGTTAGCAGGAAGCCACTGACTGGGCGCCAGTTGACATAATAGGTTAAATTACAATGTACCGATTTTTCGACACAACGTACCTACATATAAAAAATACAAACTGAACGGAACAAAAGTATTAATAAATCTTACAAAACAGAAAAACGAATAAATTTAACTTGAACTTCTATAAGTAAGCCTAAACTTCTACATAAACCGATTGCCCAAGACTCTTTCGTTACCCCTGGTTTCCAACTAAAAATTATGACGAGAAAGCATATTTGATACAAATGCGTCTAGGGCTGTTTCCACTTCGGCAGTAGTTGTAAGAAATATCAGCTTTTATTACTGGCGATCATTGTATTTGTTTTACTTGGCTTCATCCCGGACTACCCAACTACCGTGATTAAGAAGAAATTAATCCGGGAGCGCTTTGGCAGTTGAATAATGACTCTGAGCCTTGGCTGCCGTCGTTTTTCCGCTCTCTGCGATGTTGCATAGACGTCATTCCGACGGCCAGCTGTAAAAAATCTATTAAAAATATAGGAATGCTTAATGTCTAATCTTAACAAAAAATAACGGGAAAATTTTGTTAGAATTACTTTATCCAAATTATGCCATTCTTTTCTGTATTTATCTATATTAAAATTATCCCTATGCCGAAGAATTCAAATCAGTAGTTTGATTTTCTAAAGTACCTACCTACCTTTTTAACTGAACAGGCTGATAATACACTACAAGAGGAAAATAATGAGCTTGCTTGACTGCACGGATGGCGTAGTGGTCTAGGCGGTCACCACGCCGCTTCCTACTACACT